GTTGCTGTTGCTGATGTTGGTGTTGCTGCGAAGCGACCGCAGCAGCCGCTGCAGCTGCTGCCGCCGCCGATGTGGAAGCCATCGTCGAGGGCGTCGCACTTAGACTGAGATTGAGACTTTGACTTTGACTAACTGTTACGCTCTTTGGTGCGGCTGCCACAGGTGTCGTGAGGCTGTTGAGCGTGGAGCGCGCTGCTGTCGTAGCCGTAAAGCTGCTGTTGCTGAGCGCATTGCTCGCTGCCACGCTGCCGATGCTGTTGTTGTTGTTGACAATGTTGTTGGCGCGCGGCAAAACACTGCTGCGATCATATTTGGGCGTTAGAAAATTGGGATTTATTTTGGGACACTGATACGCCTCAATGGGCGGCGGATAAGTTGTGGGTGGCGTCTGATATTTCAACGGGGATGTCACGCTGCTCGCTGCGGCCAATGTTGACGTTAGCTGCTGCTGCTGCGGCTGCTGTTGATGCTGTTGGTGCTGGGGTGTCTTATTGCCAGCAGCAGCTGCTGCCGCCGCCGCCGCCGCCGCTACAGCAACTCCAAATGTCGAGGGTCGCACATACGGCGTATGATAATGCGGCGATGCTTGCGGCAAATACGATGAGGTCTTCGCGAATCCCACAGCCGCCGTGCTTAGACCGCCGCCCGCAGCACCTGGCAGCGCATACGTGGCGGGCACGTTAAGTATCTTCGACGTGGGCACCGGCGACTTCTTCTCCATGGCCTTCAGTGTGGCTGAAGCCGATGCATAGCTGGGTGGTGATATGGAGTAAGGCATGGGCTTGGCGGTCAGCGGCAGCATCGTTAGCTGCGTGGTGCCTTGCACAGTGGGTGGACAACTGGGTTGCGGAGTCAAAGGCTTAAGTGTTGGTGATGTTGTTGTTGTTGCAGCCACTGTTGCTGTTGCTGTTGTTGCTGCTGCTGCTACTGTTGTTGTTGTTGCTGCTACCGTTGTTGTTGCTGTTGCAGGGACGACTGCTGTTGCAACTGTTGCTTCCGCTGCTGTTGTTGTTGAATCTTCAGCTTTGCTGTTGCTGGCTTTGGTTGCTGTTGCAGATGCTGCTACTGTGCCTGCTGTTGTTGTTGTCGTCGTCGTCGTTACTTCTCCGGCTCCTGCTGCTGTTGTTGTTGCTGCTGCTGCTGCCGCTGCTGTGGCTGCTGCTGAGGGCACTTTGATGGCCAATGGCTCGTCATCTGAGTCGCTAAAACTCTTTTCCAGCTTGCGCTTGGTTTCGTTTAGCTCCTCATTTATTAAAAAATCCTCCTCCGCATCGGAGTCGTCTTTCTGTTGCTGCTGCTGATGATGTTGTTGCTGCTGCTTTTGTTGCTGCTGTTCGGACTTAGCTTTGGCCAGGGCCAGTGCACCCTTTTTTACCAGCATGCCCTCAATTTGTGGTTTGCCAGTCGGGGCCGCTGAGCCACTCGCACTACCCGTTGTCCCTTTTCCCTGCTTGGGCGGCCGTCCACGTCTCGCTGGGGCTGGCGGCGCGGTTGCTGCTGTCGCTTCTGGTGAGGATAGATCCGGAGTCTGCTCGGCAGCTGTAACTGAAGTTGTTGCTGCTGCTGCTCCTGCTGCATTTTCCGCCTCCGCTGCAGCTGCGGATTTATTGGACTTTTTTGATGCCTCTGCTGCTCCTGATTTGCCAGACGCATTCTTCTTCATCTCCTTTTCCATCTTTTCCATTTGCTTGACATTAGGTATGTCTGGAAAGCTGCTGAGCGACAGGTCATCCTCCTCATCGTCCGCCATCTGCAGCTTGTGCCCAATGATGCCCATATAGATAGCCGCCGCCTCCTTCGTCTTCCGAGACGGCCGTTGACTCCGCTGCGGACTGGGACTCACTGATCGTTCGGCTTTGCTTGCCTTTGACTGCGCCTGACGACGCACGGGACGAGCACTCTGGGCAGGCTTCTTGGGCGAGGGTGGCGACGTTTCTGAGTCTCCTTCTCCTTCTTCCAGCTGTTCAATTTCCTCGTCGGCTTTCTTTTTGAGCGCTTTTCCTCGTTTCGATTTGGGCTGCTCCGCCTCCGTCTTGCTGGGTGTCGTTGCTTTAGCTGCTTCTGCCTTCTCCTCCTCTCGTTGCTGCTGCTGTTTTTTTGCTGATCCGCCTGCTGACTTGCGCCCACGTGCGTTGCTTGTAGCGGCTGCTGCTGCAGTTGCCCCTGTTCCTGCTGCACTCTTCTTAGCGCCCTTCTTCAGCTTTATGGCTTTGGCCAGCGGCTGTTCATCGTCGGAACTGAAGTCGAATACATTCAGCCCCTTCTGCTGTTCGGTCGCTGTCACAGTTGAGGTTGTGCTTCCGTTTTCTAATTGCTTCTTGGCCGCATCTTTGGCATAAATGCTTGAGTTGGTTTTCTCCTTACTGATCTCTCGCTTCTTGGTCTCGGTTGCTGCAGCGGGCTTCTTCTGCTCCAGCACCTCCTTTTCCTTCTCCTCCTCCGTATCCGGCTCCTGCTTGGGCGGCACCTTGACGGGCTCAAAAAAAGCCCGCTGTCGTGTCATGCGCCCCGACGACTCTGGCGAGGGTATGAATATGGGTGATTCCCGTTGCCGCACCCGCTTCACAGGACCCTTTTCTTTCTCCTTGCTGCTGCTGTTCTCGGTGACAGCTGGAGATACAGCCGCTCGTGATTTTCTACCAGCCGCTGCCGCTGATGTTGCCTGGTTTCGTCCGCGTTTGGCATTCGAGTGTGTCGTTTCCGACTTGGTATCATCAGCGCCGCCATTGCGTGAACTGGCATCGTGGGCCGAGAAAAACTCATCCTCGTCGTCCTCTTCCTCGTCTTCTGCTAGATGAGCGGAATCATCTTTAGGTGGTTCTGACTCATCTTCCTTTTCCTTATTGGTGGCGCGATTCGAGCGACGTTTTAAGATCTCGGTGCGCCTAGCGCCTCGTCTGTTGCCCTCGGCTATTACCTCAGCACGCTTGCGCACTGCGCCCGCCAGGAGCACAGGAGGAGGAGCTGCTGGCAGAGGCTTCACAGATTCAGTTTTATCACTAGCTACTTTGTCCGCTGTCCCCAAATCTGGCGGCACCAACTGCGGTTGCTGTTGTTGCTGCGTCTGTTGCTTTGGCATTTGCCCAACTTTAGCTTTACCTGTGGTTGTTGCCGTTGCTGCTGCTGTTTTGGCGGGTCTGCCGCGTTTCTTTTTGCCAATATTCTTCTTTTTGCTGTTGCTGCTGGTATCGGTGGCTGGTGGAGCTTCATTTGCCTTGCTCTTGCCCTGATTCAAATAGTCCAAATGGGCGGGCAAAGCCGATGTGCCGCGCAGACAGAGAAATGTGACAAAATCATGTGCCTTGGGACACTTATTTGGCAATATCTCTATCGGTGGTTGGTGGCTTTCTGAGGATGTGCTGGGTCCAGACGCTGATGCTGAGGATGCTGCTGCTGCTGCAACGTTGACCGCACTGAAACCGCCTGCAGCGGTGGGTGCGCTCTGGCCTTGTGCAAATTTACGCTGCGCCTGCACCTTTGTTCTGTGGGTGTGGGTGGGATATAGATACGCAAAAGACAAGTGTGAGTCGTTTTTAATTGGTAACAAATGCAACTGAATACAAATCAAATGCAAAATCAAAGAACAAAACAAAAACGCATCGAATTTCCCAACACGTACACAGCCACACACACGCACAATCACCCCCACCCACACACATGGGCACCTGCTCTACCCTAAAGTAACTGCGAATCAGCCCTTGGCCTGTGCAACAACAGCGCCACGAAGCGTGTTCGACAGTGATGCGCTCTATTAACCGCTAAATAGCTAAAACAAACTGATTTATAACGTTCATATACTAATATTCTAACTTTTTTAATTTTTTTTTTTTTTTGTTTAAGAATTTAAAAGACCGCTATTATTTATTATTATTATATTTCAAATTTCAATTGTTTTATCAATATTTTCAACATAAAGCCAAGAACACCGTTGCTTATACAATGTAGCGCATCACACATCACGTTGAGCAGAGGTGTGGGTGTGACGGGGAGGGCGATATTGCTGTTAGTACATTTAACAGTGACTGCCACTGCGTCGTCATCTCTGTAGAGAATTTACACACATATGCAGTCATCTACGATCGACTAAATAGATAGGGGGAGGCATTGGCTCACCTTTTGGGCATCTCAGGTGATGACTCTACAGCAACGGTCGCCGCTGCCGCCAACGACGATGACGTTGGCGGGGTCTCCGTTTCCTTACGGCGACGCTTGTTGTCTTTTGAGACAACCATTTTGTTGCGAATTTTTCGCGCCTCTTTTTCCCCCAATATTTTTCTCTTTGAGACGTGGAAATGCGACCGTTGTTAATACACAGTTAATATAAAATTTAATATTTTGGTAATAATTGCAATTTGTTTTTATTCCCCCGGACTCAGCATTTACATAAACGTACGCAATTGCCAATTTTCCACTGACACTACAAACACTGATTTTGTTGGTGGCGCCTGCACGAAGTTGAAATCATATTTTCGCGTCATATTTTCGTTATTTTACCTAGCCGTACACATTATAATTGATATACTAAAATATATATTATTGTCTCACTGTTACTGTTATCGTACACATTATTAGTTTACATTTCACTGGCTGCAGAAAAGTTAAATTTTTTATGTGAGATTTTCCATTCTGCTTGCACATAATTTTTTTTCCCCACCGCTTTGCTTTGTGTCCGCCATGACATTAGAGATGTACATATAATTTAAACATCGTCACTAAACGCATTATTGACAATCGCTTTGCAGCTGTGCCTGGAGAACTAAATTTATGCCATTTTAATTTGTAATATAGTATACTGATGTACAAAATTGGTTTTTAGTGATATAGCAATATTTTTTATTATTACACAATAGATAATTAAAAATTAATATATTGCGTTATGGAAATGTTTGCTTTTGGTTCAACATGTGTTGCATATCGATACTATTGTCAAGTGCGAATCAACATGATGTGCACGAGTATGTAAACCTATCGGTCGCTTAATATATCGCTTTATTATATCGTTAATTTATTAACATCCCTAACATTAATCGTGTAGCTTGTGAGTTGACAAAAATTTTTGTAGAAGCAATTTTCGCAAATTGAGCAATCAAAAAGGAACTTCACACAATGAGCGAAGGAGCAGGCAATTGGTGTCTTATAGAAAGTGATCCAGGCGTATTCACAGAGCTGATACGCGAATTTGGTAGGTTGAAAATACAGCGCGCGCTTTTTTTTTCAAGACGTGGTTGCCAATGCCGGCATCAAATATTGCTATACATAGTTCTTATATGAATGAAACGTTTTTCTCCGTTATGTAGGCTGCGATGGCGCACAAGTGGAAGAAATCTGGAGCTTGGACAGTGAATCATTCAAAGACTTAGAACCTATACATGGTCTGATATTTTTGTTCAAATGGGTGCAGGAAGACGAGCCCGCTGGGAAAGTTGTCCTGGATCGGGATCACATATTCTTTGCCAAGCAAGTGATTAACAATGCCTGTGCAACGCAAGCCATACTTAGCTTGCTATTAAACCTCAATCATGAGGATATTAAACTGGGCGAAACACTAACCAATTTCAAGGAGTTCTGCCAGGGCTTCGATCCCTACAACAAGGGACTCACACTGAGCAATGCCTCCCAGATACGCACGGTGCACAATTCATTTGCCCGTCAAACGCTCTTTGAGCTGGATATGAAGAATCAAAACAAGGATGAGGATGTCTATCACTTTGTTGGCTATATGCCCATTGCCGGGCGTCTATATGAGCTGGACGGTCTGCGCGAGGGACCCATCGACTTGGGCGAGATCAAGCCAGATCAAAATTGGATTGATGTGGTGCGACCGATCATTGAGAAGCGCATGCAGCGTTACAGCGATGGTGAGATACATTTCAATCTAATGGCACTAATCTCCGACAGACAGCGAATCTATGAGAAACAAATCGAAAAACTTCTCAATCCGGCTGCCGATGCCATGGACACTGCAGATGATCGTCAGACTGAAATCAATAGCTTACGCTCGTACATACAGTACGAAATTGAGAAGAAAAAACGATACAAGGCAAGAACAAATATCGAATCATATTTCATTGAATATGTTAATAATTAAACTCTCTCATTGTAGATAGAGAACGTGCGACGCAAACACAACTATTTGCCGTTTATTGTGGAGCTTTTAAAAATGCTGGGTGAGACTGGACAATTGTTGCCCATTTATGAAAAGGCCAAGCAGCGGGCGCTAGAGCGCGAGCAGAAAATGAGCAAAAAAGAAACAAATTAATAGATGTTTACCAACACTCTCTTTAAGAGCAATTCAAAATTGCGCGCGCTAGTTGGAAAAAATATACACAACATATTCTTATTGATATATTTAAGTAAGAAATCTTTTTTGTTAGGGCGTCGCGTGTGTGTGTTAGTTAAGCCACCCATATTAACTGCCTTGTATCGTATTTAGCTATTTTGTACCCCTCAAAAATGTCTATAAATTGCTGCAAATTAATATTCGTATAAAGGAAAAATAATTTTGAATCAATGAAATAAAATGGTTCCGTACAATTAACAGAGAAACAAAACAAGTGATTGGCGTTTTAGTATATAATATATTTGTTTATGTTGTTTTTATAAACTATATATATGTATATATATATATATTCACGTATGTATTTTGAATTTACAATTGCTATGCTTGGTATTTGATTTTTGCGTTTCCGTTTATATTATTTTTATTATGCATCTATATTGTTTGTGTATATAAGTATTGTATATAGGAATAATTGTTTTTGTTAATCTTCTATGTTTTTACTCTACTGTTACTTTCAGTGTTGTGCTTGTATGTGTATTTATTATGTATTATAAATGTTTGTTCACTCAACTTATACTCTATATGCTATAGTTGATGTGTATATGCATATTAGGGAACTTTCTTGGGAGGTCTTTGATTTATTTTTGAATTTTGGTGTTGCACTTATTATCTATCTTAATTCTCTACACTGTATATAGATATATGTATATATATATTTATATTATGCTTGTTTAACTTTTGGAAAACAAAGGGAAAATTAATTTTCGGAAACCGAAGCACGATCTACAAATATATATATCTCTATAGATAGGCCAAGTGTTGCCATATGAACTGCTTCTTATTGGATTTCCTATGTTGCTTACTAACTGGAATTGCATTCTAATTACCTTTATGTTCATTTCAAATTGTTACACTAACTTTTTCTCTATGTTACTCATATTTTCATTATAATTTAGCACTTAGTTTTGACTTTATTACTTAGCATCATTTCGCTTAACAATTTTCCTCATTTTGTGTATAATTTTGTTTGTTTTTGTTTTTATTTTTCGTTTTGAAGACACAACAGTTACTGGTCCAGTTCCAGGAAGTATATGTAATATGTATTCGTGTGTAAGTGTATTTCTTGTTGTTGCTGCTCTTATTATTGTTGTTGTTGCTGTGCAACACCTCTGCAACTGCTAAAGATTGCTTTTACCGTGACACATAACTGTATGGCGATTCGCTCTGCTGTGGTGTGGCTGCTGTTAACGCAGCAAAGGCGTGTTGTGGGCGCGGCGCTTGCGTAATCAATGAATGCTGCGGTGCTGTTCCAATTGGCTGAGATGCTTGGGAAGTAGAATCGAACGTTGTTAGATCGATACTTGTTGCTATGCAAAAGGAGAGGAAAATAAGAACAAAATGGGCTTAAAATATGTTCATAACAGTGGTGCAAAAACTACTAATTTTCGGAATGTAAGTGTTGTTATAAACTAATATTTAAGAAAACTATCGCAAGGAAAATTTAACGAACATGGTTTACCAGCCGCATGAAGTCGATTATAAAGGTTCTTGCGTTTCTTTTTTAAAAGTGCATCCAAATTGTAGCTCTCCGATCCGGCTCTAATAAAGTAAAATTAAAATATATCATTTTAATTCACGAATATAGTTTTGTCAAATTTGCTCACTTGTCCGGTCGTCCATTCCCCAGCAACTCTTTAAATGCCACATAGATCTTGTTTAGCGTCAGATTGGATAGCCCCTGGCCCAGATATCGTACAAATTTAAGTTGTTCACATTTGGATAAAGCGCTCTCGTGGAAGTCCAAAAAGGGTCGATGATCGGATATCTGATATTCCTAAATTATCAATAAAAAAATAAATGGAAATCGGTTAAATAATGCGTTTTATTTAAGGGGGTCGGCTAGAGTTTTGTTCTATGCTCTAGGAATGAAGGTGAAATTTTGAAAACTACTGAAATTCATAATGAATAATGCCAATGTGTATATATTCATTTATATATAGCCAATTATGTTAGAGGATCGAGGCTCAAGAACAAATCTCCGCTGAACACAACAGCCAAAGGCTCTGGCTATTTGGGAGGAGCACGTCGTCGATACACAATTGCTCACATTGCAGAACTTGATGAAATTCTCGATGAGTATGCACTTTTCATAATTGCTCAGACATTGCTGGCTACTACTCTGTATACCGAACTGTTTCAATAGCTCCTGCTTCTTGGGCGGCAGGCGGCTGATGTGAGTGCAGACGCCATCTTCGATGCGATGCGTCTCATGCACATTGAAATTCTCATAGATGATCAACTGTTCGAGTGCACGTGGCGGCGGTCCTAGTGGCGGCAACGACGGTGGCGGTAACAGGGACATCGACGCCGGCGCCACACAGCTATAACGTGTGTCCAAGGATTGAGAAGAAGCGGCTGCTGCTGCTGCTGGTACATAGTTGTTAACAGTGTTGCTGCTGTTACTGGTGCTGCTGCTACTGCTGTTAACACTGCTGCTGCTGCTGCTGCTGTTGTTGTTGTTGCTGGTGCTATTGGTGCTGCTGGTGCTGCTATTGCTGGCAAACTCGAGCGTGCCGTCATTGGCGGCCGCCATGTTCTTGAGGTCTACAAGAGAGAGTTGCATTTTTATAGTTGGAGAGAGTGAGAGAGAGAAAGGGAACACGACGACCGAATGCTAAAGAGATGTGACGCTTGGCTAGCACAAATGCAGGCAAACGCGAGAGCAGGCTAAATAAAAAAGTCAACATATTTTTGTTCTTTTTTGCTATGTATGTATATATATGTATATTTGTTGTTGAAAACAAAATTTCGCTTTATATGTTTTGTATATATGTAGAGGTTGTATATATATATAATAGTATATATGTATATATATATATTTAGGATGGGTTTTGCACATATATATTATTTGTTTCTGGCTTACTAAAATATATATTCATTACTATATATATGTCTAAATAATATTACTTTCAATAGTTGCGCATTAGCTTGATTCTCTATAATGACAGTTTACATGTGTTTTTTGTGTGTTTGTAATTGTAATAATCTCTTTTCAAGGAATAACATTGCATAGTTTAGGGCGCGTTTATCGTCCAACAATTTAGTCGTATAACATAATACATATTAAAAAATTTGGCAATAAGCGTGTAAAATTAGACTACAAACGAAATACATATGCTAAGAGCAAAACAGAAGACTTTGTAAATGGGACAGAGACAACGTGGTAATAATATAAAATAAAACCGAATGGTGTAAATAGAAGAGTTAAAAGCTAATAATAGTTGCTGGGGCATCCGTGATTAATTTCCTCTTTTTATTTGTAGGTAGCTGGAGCCGCCAAGGATTGTCAACAGGTGGCGCCATTGCCGCCATATTTGGCGCCACGCCGACGCCAGTCTCACATATTGGGCGGCAGCGCATGTGGCGGCGGCGGTGGCGGTGGCTGAGCTGATGTTGGGGGCGCCGTTGGCGCCACCTGTTGGCCAAAGCCGTGCGGCGCTGCCATATGAGCGTGCGGATGTTGATGCTGATGCTGATGTGGATGCGGATGTGGATGCGAATGTGCATGTGAATGCGGATGTGGTGGCGGCAGGTTGTAGTGCGGATGATGCGGATGTGCGTAGGCAAAGTGGTGCGGATGCGGATGCGAATGTTGCTGTGGATGGGGATGTGAATGTGGGTGTGGATGCGGATAGTGATGTGGATGCGGTGGCGCATGATGCAGATGCTGTGGATGCTGTTGCTGATGATGATGCGGCGTCAGGGGTGGTCCACGCGTAGGCGTGGATGATTGTTGTTGCTGCTGCTGCTGCTGTTGTTGTTGTTGTTGCAGGTGATGCGATGCATGTTGTTGCATTAGATGCGTATGTGGCTGGCTAGCTGGCGTTGTGGGCGTGCCAGGCCTGGGCAGGGGCGTGCCATTGGGCGCTGTTACTAATGGTGACTGCGACTGCGGCTGCGGCTGCGGCTGAGGCTGCGACTGCGACTGCGCTGCTTGCTGCGTGTGTAAATGTGTGCTACTGTTGCCTGTTGCGTGAGAGTTGTTGTTGTTTGGTGTTGTTGTTGGTGTTGTTGATGCGGCTGGTGCTGTTGGGGCTGCTATGGGCGATGATGGCGCTGATTCGCATTGCTCGTGTGTTTGTTTCAACTGTGTTGATGTTGTTGTGTTGGTCTTGTTACTGTTGTTGTTGTTGTTGTTGTTGGTATTTTCGCCTAGTGATTGAAAAGCGTATGCGTGTAAAAAGAAGTAGAAGAAGAAGAACACAAACAAATTGAAAGTCAAAAATTAAAAAATTATTTTCTTGCTTGTTTTTTTTTTTTTGTTTTTCTTCGATTTCGATAGAGCAAAGATAGGCAGCCAATTATTTATTTCAGATTTTTTTCTTTTTCATTTTTAGTTTTGTTTTTCATTTTTCGAGAGAGCGAAACAGAAAGTGCATATGAAGAACCAAAAAAGAATATATATAGAGCAAATGAGACATGTGAAATGAGAAAAGTGCAAAAATAGAAGAAAAAGAACATATCAAAAACTTAAAAAAAAAATTAAAATAGAAATTTGGTTTTTGGTTTTTGTGTATATATTTTTAAAATTTAGCACATTTTCGCTTGAAACTATTTTTGAGGTTATTTTTATTTCTTTTTCTCTTTTATTTAGCTATATTTATATAGTCTTTTTTCGCCTGTCTTTAAATATTTTTTTCGTTGCTGCATTTGCACTATAAAAATGTTGTATATATTTGGAGATGGGAGAGAGAGGTTCAGAGTGTCTTACCAGCTGTTGTGTTGGCCAGGAAGCGCTTGGTCTTATCGAGTATATAAGGCAGATTGTAGCCATCCTTGGTATAGCTATAGAATATTTTTAGATATATACATATATATATATTTACTGATATGCAGATTGCAAACTTACATTTCTGTGCGTTTGGTGCAAAATAGATTTTTAAAATTGCTATAAATGCAGAAGAGTGTAAACGTTGGCAATCCTTGTCCCAAATAGCGTGCGAATTTGATTTGCTCAGGTTTGTTGAGGCCACATTGATTTAAGGACAACCAGGGTCGATGATCCTTAATATCGTATTCCTAAAAAGAAAAAATATATAGATATATGTGAAATATATGTATATGTATTTACTTATACTCTTAAAAGTATGCTATATAAAACATGGTACAAAACATCCTTTTTGACCATAACTTATGTTTTTATAATATACATATTACAATAAAATATAGTCTTGTTTTTCTCTTATTTTTGGTATTTCATTAATAGTCACATGGTTAGACTCCGGCAGAAGGAATATTTATGTATATAATCTGAGTACAAATCTAATGCATGTACACTGAACTCGTTGTGGCCTCAGAAAGTATTCATTATATGCCTTATAAAACATCCTTTATACCTAGACAAACATTTGTTACTTATTAAGGCCGAAGGAAACCTTTTTTGATTAAATAAAATATTCACATGCCAAGTTGCTGTCTAGAAATGAAATCCTCTTTTAGCTGAACCCCTATTTTCATACATATTATAAAGCTGAAACTCATTTCCTGCATATAAATGTTTCTATATATTAGATATAACTTATATACTTGTACATATATTTAGCTAAGCCCAACCACCGAGTGGAAAACACACACATTTACATAAATATGTATGTATGCATATATATACCTATACTAATGCAAATGAAAACTTTGCCCACTACTAATCAAAACTTATAATTCGTGTACAACAAAAAGTTGAAAACGAAAATTTCACAAAAGCCAAAAACTTGCAGACCCCAAAATGCAAACACAATCATAGAAAGGACTCTGCGCCTAAAAGCATGCCATACACACAATCCCACACAAACACATGCAGCCCCATTCCCAGCCCCAGCCCCACACTCACACACACTCGCACAATGTATATTTTATAGTGTAAAAATATAAAATAAAGCAAAAACGGGAAAGAGAAAGGCACCAACAGCAGCAGCAGCGAGCGCAAACCCAAATAGAAAAGCAAACAACATTTTCAATGAAGCCATTTTCAACAATGTTGGCAAGAGAAGAGCGGGGCACAAAGTGGAACTTGTGGGAGCTAAAAGGGTTGTCGCCTGCCCATGGGCTTGGGTGTGTGTGCGTGTGTGTTTAAATAGGCGCAGCAGCTTGACGGACGTCTGTGCCTGTGTCCGTATTCGTGTCTATGTGCCTGTCCCTGTGCATGTGTGTGTGTGTACTTTGAGAGAGTCAACAAGCATCGCCGAGTCGTGCTCGTATGCTCGTTCGTCGACAGCGACAGCGACGTCGACGTTAAAACTTATCAACGTCCTCATAATCAGCGCGACGCCAACGTTACCCACCCAAAGCATCAGCCTGCCGACTTCTAAGCATATATGGCAACGCTGTCGAAAATGCCCTCATGGGTGTGTGTGCATGTACTTATAACTGTACATGTGTTTGCATGTGTGCATACATTTGGGGTTTTGATTATGTTAAAAATCAATAGAGCAAAAAGGAGTGACGACGCCCAGCCATAGAGTACTAGCATGCTGCAGCAGTAGAAAGAGCACGAAGAGGAGCAAGTCAAATTTACCAAAATACTTAAAGCTTGACTTTATGATTGTGTGTGTATGTCAAATTATGAGCGAAAGAGAGAGAGAGAGAGAGATTTTCAGAGCACGAGTAACCAATTCAACGCCTTTTCAATGATGACAGGCCCCTTCAGAGGTGTTGGCCGTGAGGAGGGCAGCGTGACGGTGACGACTCATTAACAGCAGCATGCGTGCAAGAGAGAAAGAAAAAGGAAGAAAGACCACAAAAATGAGAGAGTAATATAGGTGAGAGAGCCGAGCTTGGCTGTCAAGCCAAGTGTTGCTGTTGCTGTCTCCGCCTGATTGTTTTGGCTGCAGCGGTGCGTGGGCGGAAACGGGAGGGGTAGAGTTTTGTGTGTTTACATTCCTATAGCCGCTTAACTGTTTCAAAAAAAAAGTAAAAACAAAAGAGAAACAAGCAGAAAGAATGTAGGCAGCAATGGCAATGTGTTGCGGCATTGTGCTCTTGCTTTTCCTTTTATTGTTTTGACTGTTTTTTTTGTCTCTTCTTTTTTTTTGCAACTTATTGACAGCACGCAGACTGTGTTTGTGTTTGTGCGTGTCTGTGCGTGACGTATCCTGCCAAGCTCTCTGGCTTCGTGTGTGTGTGTTTGTATGTGGCTGTGTGTTTATGTGTGGCGGCTTGCGGTTGTTGTCTGTGGTGTGTGTGAGTTCTGTCTATGCGTGTGTGTATGTGGTGTGATGCAGCTTGTTGTTGTTTTTATTGAGACAAGTGTGAATTGTTTTTCTTTCTGTTTCTGTTTTCCTGCTTGTGCGTGCAACAACAGTTGTTCGTGCTGCCGTCGCCTGACAATGATTTTTTGATTTTTGAGGGTTGCGTGTGCGCCCCAGTGTGGTTATGTGTGCGTGTGTGTGAGGGGAGGCAACAATTTTCACACTTTCACTCTTTGCGTTTAACAGGTTTTTAACAACAATTTGAGCGACGCACGTGTGAAAAAGGGTTGTAAACGACTCATTAATTATTGCCCATATAGTCGTTTGCCTTAACATTCGTAGGTGAACTTCTTTGGACCCTTAATTAACGTGCCGAACATAACCTCATATTTTGCTAGTCAACTAAATTTAAATATGAATGTAAATATTTCACATTTTTGGCAACAATCTGCATATGCTCATACCCTTCTGTGTAACCCCTTGTATTCGCCTCGTTATACAACACTAATTTAATGCGGCCCCAAAGGCGGCAAAAACGACGCATAAACCTAAATATTTTATATCCATATGAATATGTGTGTATGTTGACAGTGGATGCAGATACAAATACATACATATACAGATATTATATATAGTCATCATATAAGTTTGGCAAGTACAGTTATTCGTATATATGTGAGTATGTATTTACATTGTAATTTATATCCGTATGTATGTATGTGTATATAATTTAAAATTATAATCAATGTACATGGGTTTCACAGTTGCTGTTTCTGTGTGAGCGCGTAAATTGTGCGAGCCCGAGACATTGTACCTGCCCTAGCCAAACGCCCAACGTCCTGCGGCCCCCTATACGACCCGTTCTCATCCGCGGCTCTGTACCTTACACACCCAAAAATATATATGTATCTGTACATACATACATGCATACATACACACAGATTGGCAAACTTATTGCATATGTGTATTGGTGACTGCGCTGCTACTGCATGCGCATTTAGTAGCCTTCAACGACGCCGCTAGGGTACCACACACCTAAAATATACGTACATATAAACAAACATACACACATACACGAATACATACAAGCACACGAAAGGACATACGAAGGCAACTCAATGGACAGTCCAACAAACGCCCCAAGTAACTTGATGATTGTATGTATGTAACACAAGAGAGAATGTGTGCGAGCGTGTGAGTAAGAGAGAGACAGAGAGAGCGAGAGAGAGAAAGAGAGGGGCGCATATACAATTACTCAATAGCGCCCGCTTGAGCTTTTTGGGGGTTGCCAGACCCACTTACCCACACATAACTATACACACACACATACATATACAAAACTTTGTAGTTTGAGCAGGCAGCTATCGCTGCCACCGCCACCGCCTCTTCCGCTACCACTGCCGCCGCTGATGCTCCCTGTAAGTAAAGTTCTTACTGGCAAAGGAGTGAACGCTGGTGAGAGTTAGAGAGAGAAAGAGCGCAACAATTTTGAGTTAAACTGGAAGGGAGAGCAGAACGACAACATCAAAGCTAGGCATCTTAAAACTAAAATGTTGTAATAGCGGCCGAAGGGCCGAGAAAGCAGCCATGTTGAAATAAGGTTAGGCTCTAGCTACTGCTCATGTTGTTGTACTTGCTCTTGTTGTTGTTGCTGTTCCTGTATTATGCCATCAATGCCGTTTTGTACATATGTAGTTTGAGCGTGTGGGTTGTGCGGGTGCTGCTTCGACCAAATCTAGTTGATTGTGTATGTGTGTGGTTGAGTATGTGTGCGTTCCGATAAAGCTGAGCGTAATGAGCATGTGTCAGTGTGTGAGAGTTGGGAGGGTTGCCTAGCATAGTGTTGAAAAGGCGCCAAATGTGTTGGAGTGAGTTGTCTGTATATATCTCTGTATGTATGTATATTTATGTGTGTGTGTTTACATACAAATGTACATGCTTATGTTTGGCTGTATGTAGGTGTTTAGAATACACAGGCACACATTGGTGCCACACATGATTACAGTTGTATTTGTATGCTGAATTTGTGGTTGGCCCCGCTCTGTCGACGCCAGCGTCTCTGCTGCTGTTATTACAATTTATAATGACATTCGTTGGATGAGCATGTGTGTGTGTGCGAGGGAGTATGGGTTTGATATATGTACATATGTATGTATGTGGGCGGCATATAATAGAGTGAGAAATGCGCTTGTGTAAAGGATATGAACGGTGTATCCGCGTTATGAATATATATAAATATATATGCATATGTACATATGTATATATTCAGATGTAGGTATATATCTATAAATTTATATAAGTGTCATATGTATATTTTGTATATGTTAGCGAAAATCAAATTCTATTCATATACATATATATATATTTGTATCTGGCATATGTACTATAATGACAGAGCGAATGTTGAACAGTAATTGAAATTGAAAAAAAAATGAATCTCATATTGTTGGATTTGTTTAATTAAGCTACATATCTGCATCTGCATCTATCTATAGAATTCTATGAAAAGAACAGCTGTTGTATTGTCTATGTGGTATTTATACATTCGTATATATTATATACCCAGTTATTTAACAAGCTCACCTCGCAAAATTTGATAAAATTTTCGACCACAATCGATTTATCCGTCAATGTCATTTGGCCCGTGAATCGTACACCCAACTGCTTGAGTGTATCCTTCTTCTTTGACGGCAGCTTGTTCATGTGCTGGAAGATGCCCTCCTCTACCTTATGCGAGGGATGCACATCGAAGTTCTCCTTGATCACAAAGCTACCTAAAAGCTTGGGCGCCCCACCAGCGCCAGAAGCCGCCGAGCATCCTGATCCACCCAACAGTCCACCGAATTCTGCTGCACTGCCGCAATGCTCCTCCGAGGAGGTATTTGAATTGGAAGCATTCAGATGAGAGTTGGGAAAGGCAAGTAACTCCAGCGAGGACGACTCATTTGAATTGGAGCCATTCGAGCCGTTCGAGGTGCTCGTTAAGTGTTGCAGCTCAAAGATTGTTTGCTTCGAGTCGTGATCAAAGACGGCGTCCAGGGCGGAGGTGCTGGCGTCCAGGCTATTGGAAGAGCGCGATACGGAAGATAGCAGCGCGGCGACTTTACGGGAGGCCGAACGTGATTTTTGCGATGGGTTTGCCGAGTCCAGATCCAATAAACCCACACTGCAGCTACCACTGCCACCAGCACCACCAGCAGTGGCGCTCCCTGGCGGCGGTGTTGTAATCCTGCCCGCTCCAATCAATTTACTGCTCTTCTCTGCCGGTGCTGCCAATGCGGCGCTGTCAACTGCGTCGCTGCTGACGTTGACGCCGACAGCGCTATTGCTGCTACTGACACCGCTGCTGCTGCCGCTGCTGGGCGTAAAGTCCGTAGAGTGGCGCAGATATTTGATAAACTCAAAGGAACCATCGAAATGCTGAGCGTTGGCAGCAGCGGCAGAGGCGGGCACGTGTCCGTTTGGCGTTGCCACCGCTGTCGGCCAACGGTTGTTGAGCAACGGTGTGCTTAGCACTGCCGGCGTTTCCGCAGCTTCACGCTGCGCCGACTGCAACTGCAACGTCGCTGCCGTTTCGAATCCGAGCTCTGCTCCTCCGACGCCGATGCCATTTGTGCATGAATACTGTGATTGTGGTTGTTGTTGTTGTAGTTGCTGCTGCTGTTGTTGCTGTTGCGTTGACTGAGCAAACACTTGAAATTCTTCGAAATTTGTACATTTCAACTCGCCATTGCTCAAGTACTTGGAAAACTCTGAAGGATCGTTCAAGGAGTTGAGAAAGAATGAGCTAAAATTGCTCGATATGCAGGACATTTTTATATTATTTTTTCTTCTTTCAGTTGTTGCTAATACTGTATATATAATAACGCTTATAAATATATATGTATGTGTATATATGTATGTATTTTTTTTATTATATTTTGTTTAAAGCTGCTCCTTTTGCTTAATTATAGTAGTAGTAGTTGTTGTTGAAAATGATGGCACATTGAATGTTGTTCACTTTTATTTATTTTCTGCTGCTTAAATTCTTTTTCTTTTCCGTTTGCTTTTTATTTGCGCAGCCTAACTGTTAATAATTTACACACACACGCACACATACAGCTGCATATCTGCGCTGCCGCGGCCACTGCGCTGCTACTGCTGCTTGCTGATGTTTCGAAATTTACTTTTAGTTTTCCATTTCCAGCGTTTTTCTTGCGTTCATATTTTATTACAATTTTCCCCCACACACACATTCACAAGAAAAACATTACTTGCACATGTGTATGTGTGTGTATGTGTATATAAATTTTTCTTCTTATTATAGCAAAAGCAAAGTGTAATTTATTATTCTTATAGCTTGCTCCGCTGCTGCTGCTGCCTCTGCCACTGTCTCTTTCTCTGCCTCTCTCACTGCCTTTCGCTCCTTGAGACGGCGACGCGGCCTTTTCACCGTATGTGGTCGCTTCTTGTTGTTGTTGTTGTTGTTGCTGTAGCACTGTCTTGGCTAGCATGTGCACATGTGTGTGTGTGTATGAATATGTGTGAGCGTGTGTGTACGTTCAATTGCCTGCCACTGCCATTGCCCCTGCTCCACACTCAAAACTATCGCGGGCTCTTTCGCTCACACACAAACACATAGCATATGCACTGCTTCTGCCAACGGCGGCTGCGGCGCGTGTGTTGCCCTGCAAATAGGCGGCGATTTCAAACTGGTCTCTGCGCCGTCTTTTGGCTATCTTATTATAATAATTCCTTTTTTCGATTGCTTTATATTTTTGCACTATTTTTCACTTGATTATGCTTCCTTCTTCGTGATACATTCGTTTCAAAACATATACTTTATGCATATATACACACACGTTCGTATACAATCACAAACATAAGTTAGCGAGGTGCGGTCGCGACGTTTTGGTTTATATTTCGTTTTCCTCTTACTTTACTTTCAAAACAAATGCCGCCCATACGCTGTGTTGTGCCGTCGCCTAGCGGAAAACGGACAACGGAAAATCTTCTGTTGTATTTTCACCGCTGCCTTGTGGGAGCAATGCGACGTAACCGTACCGCACTCGAATGAGAACTGAGCGGAAAACTGAGCGCGCTAGTTAATCTGTGCATGTTCTCTCTCACCATCTCAAAGACATGTTCGCTCTCTATCTCTCTCTCTCTCTCTCTCGCTCTTTCAGTGCGCTCAAATCATGTACATACATATGTGTGCGTACTTAAGATTGAATATGTGTGTGTAGCGCGCGCTCCTTGTAGTTGTAATCAAAATCAGTTGTTCGTTGTTGTTGCTGATTTGTTGTTGTTGTAGTTGTTGTAGACGTGCCTCAGCGACTAGGAAACGTGTATTTCTTCCTGTGACAGGCTGCTTTTGCTCTTTTTAACCCTTCCATATAAACCTGATTTAATCTTTGATTATTATGCCTGCTTGCGTTGTTGTTGCTCTTGGCGCTGCCGCTGCGGCTGCTGCTTTGGAGGATTATGGTTGCCTTTCCTTTGCTATTTTCGAAAATTCCACTAAATTATCCGTTGTGTTGACGATATATACGCGTGTATGTGTGCAGGTAAAACAGTTCATTTGCCTAGAGTTGCCACACACTGCAACATTAAGCGAGACCACCTGGAAAGCAGAGAACAATTTCTTGTGTTAGTTGTTCCATGTTTTAGGTATTTTTCATTTACAATATTTTCTTAAAACGCAGCAGGCTAGTTTCGACACATTTAAAATAAATGGTTTGCAAGCGAGAGCAACGGAGCAGGTAGCAGGTAAAGAGATACCCAAGGCCACAACAAAAACATAAAGCATGGGTGCAATTTGCGCATGCTGACAACCCTGGCAGAGTCACTAAATAGGATAAGCACCCACACATCCTCCTCTCGCCCTTCTTCCGCTCTATTACTAAAAACTTAAGCCGCATCGCGACTTTTAGCAAAAATTTATGGCCATTTAAAATTTTGTGCAAAGAATTTTTATAGTTGTTTTATGCATATATGTACATCCATAAATACATATATATTTTTATTTTAAATATATTATAGATACATTTTTGTATACAGCTATGTTCATTCGCCTTTGTTCAATAAATATAATTGCTATTGCAGACGGGTTTAATTATAAATAGAGCGCGGCAGGGAAGTCATCAATTAAGCAACAAGAAAAAAATAAACGAACACTTTGGCTGATTATAATTACCTTTTTGGCTTCTGCTGCTAGTCATGTATTTTTTGGCACAATTTTGTATTTAAATTTTTAACGTGCTTTCATTCGACTTTAATAGGCACACAGACACTATTTCATTTTCGATGTTACAACACACTTTTCATATGTATGTGGGTAATTTTTCAATTAATTTTAATTATAAACTTAATTAGGAAATCAATGAACGAATGCGAACGGAACAAACAAACACAATTGGGGAAAAGTCGCACCAACAAGTGCGAGCGAGCGAATGCATAACTAGAACGGTGCGGCAACAAAAACAATGACAACAATACTCAAGTGCGCTGCGCATACAATAAAAACATCAGTGTTATGTGCCCCCAGTTAGTTTACTGTTCAAATAACATTTATTGTGGTGTCGTTATGAAGGAAAGAACGGATGGTAAAAGAGAAATGTAGTTTAACAGAATGCGCCAACAGGAACTGTTACGAACCACTTTGCAACTGCTGTGAAGAATATCAGTTTCAGCTGAAAATAAATTAAATTAACTCACATTTAGCTTTTTATATTTATTTTATTTCATACACTTAATTTTTCATTTTTAATTTTTAAAAATATTATAAAATTTTAAATTTACAAACAGCTGATATACTTTCGATAGCTATCGATTGGGTTTCTTATATTGTGGTATAGGCGCAAAACGTGCGCAAACCACAATAAGTAAAAACTCTTCACAATGAAGTTCTTTATAAAAAGTATTAGTAAAAATTCCGGACGCCTTGGTCAGTTGCGGATTAAGGACAGCAAGGAGCTAGAAACGCCGCTACTACTGCAAACAACAAAAGGCGGCAGCATTCCATACTTAAGCGCCGATGTTTTCGGAATGGTCACCCAAGAGCAACAAGTGCTGCAGTTGACATTATGCACTATGGATCAAATGGCCGAGTCTTTGGCACAGTGGAACCGGAGCCTGGGCGCCTATGTAGGCTATCCTGAGTACAATACACTGTTGCTGTTGCGCGATCCTTGCGAAGCCACACCAACGGGTGGCAATGATCGTGATGTGGTTCCACTTTTCACACGACGAGGCAAGGAGTCTTTAACCGTGGAACGTTATTTGCAGCTGGTGTCCAGCTTTGCGCCGGATGTGTATCAAGGCTTGTGTGATGCGGACACTAATCCAGAGAGCACTAAGAAGCGAGTACAAAAATCGGTGGATCGAACCGAACGTTTTATGGAGCACTGCTACAAGCAGCATAGAGAACTGGATAGATTGAAAGACTCGACGCTTCTTGCGCCAATTGTGGGCGGTTACAACACATATGCCCGCACACAGTCCATTAAGCATGCACGCGAACAGCCAAAGGGAAGCTACGGTGGCTACATATTTGAAGGATTCCACACCAATGGGTTACCTGCCACGAGTCTGAGTCCATCACAACTGCTGCCCATTGTTGAACATTGTCTGCAACAGCTTGAGGAAGAGTTGCCACGCCTGATGCCAGGTCCTTTTACACCTGTGCTAATGTTGGAGCTAATACGCTTGGGCGTCGATGTATTTGACACCTCCTACGCTTACTGTGCAGCCGTTAATTATAAGGCGCTGACTTTTAGTTACACTATTGATAAGAAAGAACATTCTGCATTTCTGGATGTTACGGATGAGGCGATTAAGGAGGAGTTTAAGCCTATGCTAGAAGGTTGCAAATGCTTGGCCTGCCAGAAACATACGCGCGCCTACGTGCATCATCTATACAAGACGAATGAGCTGCTGGGTCCGATTCTGCTAATGATGTAAGATTGAACCTGCCTTTACTTAGTTCTGTAATGACATTTTTATTTGACCAAACAGCCACAATTTGCATCATTACATGGGCTTCTTTGATGTAATACGCCAAAGCATTGCAATGGATCAATTGCCATCACTTCTGGATTATGTGAGACGGCAAAATATGCCAAACGATGTCAACTATTGCATTGAACCCAATACCAAAGTAGTGGGTAAGGCGGCCATGGGCAAAGGTTTTATCACAGCAGCCAATTAGCTGTCTTACATGATCAAAGGCTTAAAATAAACTGGAACTACTTGAAACATTTTTATATCAAAATAGGCCATAGAGTACTGTTGCTGCCATCGATGATGCGTTTTGTCTGCCTATAAGCGGTTTCGAAAGCATCACCAGTCAGATCCTTGATTCTATCGATCACTACTTGCTCTGTCAGACTCTGCAGTTTCTCCTCATCTGCAATTGTATATAACAATTGATTTAGTGGTATATATAATGCTATATACTATCTATCTACTTACCACCCACAGGTAGAAAGCCGACCAACTCGCAGAAGCCGACATTGAATACGCATGCATCCTTGTTTACACAATATTTCGATCGCACAAAAAGGAATACACGCAAATCATTTGTTTTTCGGTCGTGTGTCATGAATAGATTGTGTGGCAACTGGTTGTTGCATAGCCATTCCGTGATTTGATGAATTTGCTGAACCTTTTCCTTCAAATCATCCTCACTCTCCTTACCGTCAAATACAAAACAAATCGCTTCCGTGGGTTCCTTATTTTTCAGGCGATAAACATAGTTCCCTGCCAAAGGCTTCAGTTCCACATTGTCAATGTATAGGTTGCGTGGTATGTGCAGCAGATGGAAATGTAAATGATTCACTGAAGCCAAAGCACCTGGACTATTATATCCCAGACGCATGTTTGGATCAGTGATATTCCGCATAAATGTAATGCAGAAGTTGAGTGCCGAGCAGGTGATTCGTTGAACTAGTTCCTTTTTCACTTCCGGGCAGATGAGCGTATGGTATTTGGTAATGGGACTCTTGTTGATAATCATCTGCACCTCTGCGTTGTCTCTCTCCTCATCTATAGTCATCATGACCTCCATAGCATCCACTTTGTTAAAATTAAATTGTTTGGGCCGAAATGTGGGACTTAAGCTCTCAATGGTTTGTGGTACGCGTCTTTTCAATGTGCGATCCGCATTTAACTAAAAAACAAAATTAACTAAATAATTATTATTTCTAAGATTATTTGGACACTCACCTCTGCATAGAAACCACATTTGCCTGGCAGTTTGCGTCCAGGTCTGGACTCTTGGAGCTGATAGGCAAATAGGCCGGGGATATCGTGCAACTGCATCCAGCGCACTTTGAGTGCATTTAAATAATGTTGTGCCTTGGAATCCAGAGTCGTCTCGTACTTTGCCTTGCTAACATGTCGTGTGCGTTTCTTTGGCTCCATATCACCAACAATAACGGCGAATTGCAGCAGGGCTACCACACTAAAAAACTGCCTGTTGCTTTTGATTACCTTCGATGCATTTTCTCTGACATTTTCATATAATTCACGGGAAATAATACGATTTTGGCTTAAAATTTGTTTGGCCGTGTGAAATATCCAAGACATGTTGGTCACTAAAGAAGCCTAAATAAAAAGTATTGTTTTTAATCAATTTGTATACATTTTGATGAATGCGACAACTCTGGACATGCCAGCTGTTTACTTTTTAATTTGTTTTTCTCATTAGATAAACAAATTTTTGATTGTAAATTATGGAAAACGTTAAATTTGTACGCGGTTCCTGTGAACGGTTTTGTCCCGATGCAGAAGCTAAAATGTAAGCAGAGATTTGAAATTGGTGTTTAATCTTGAATACAGTTTTTCTTTAAGGCGCATACAAAAGAAGTTGCTGAACTTCTTTGAATACAAAGATGGTCAAAAACATGTACCCGGCGTTTTGGTCAAGGAGTTTACACGTTCCGCAGCTGATGCAAAGGTGCCAAACGCCAGGGATATGCGCACTGAGCCTTGCCTAACGAGAACAGTTGAATATCTCCTTAAAGAGTAAGAATCCTTATTATTTGGCCTAATGTTGAAATTAATTTAAAATATCTTAGCATATTTATGGATGAACGCAAGCCATATCATTTCGTCTATGATTTTATATTCGATCGGTTGCGAAGTGTGCGGCGGGAAATAGTCATACAGCAGTACAACGCCCGACAGACCATTCGTCTTATTGAGCCGATGATCATGTTTATGGCTTACAGCCGCTATCGTCTGTGTGAGGAGTCAATCGATAAATTTGATCCGAAAATATGCAATCAGCATTTGCAGGAATGCCTGAATGTTGTACTCTGCTCTTACGATGAGCTGGATGAGGAGTCACAGAGTTTGACTAAGAAGCCAACCATACGTGAAGCAGAGCGACGTTACTTTATCGAGGCACTGTATCAAATTTTCAACTTGGGCACACCAGAAGCTCTAGTTCGTGGGTTAACGCTGCCCATCCAAGTGCGAGAGAACGAAATCTTTAAGTTGGCGTTTGGTATCTGCTTGAACTATCATCAAGGAAATTTTTATCGTGTCATTAAGGGTCTGCCGAAATTGCCGCATATCATTTGTGCAGTGGCTGGTGCCAAGCTGCAGACAATACGAAGGTGAATTAGTAATTCTTAATTTACATATATATTTCTATTGATTTTATTTCTATTTCTTTCAGACGCCTCTTGGAAATATTTACGCATGCCTACAATAGTAAACAGCTTACGGTACCGACTGGGTACTTGTTGCGTTTGACTTTGCTAGAGCCCAAATCGCTAAATGAACAATGTAGACATTATAATATAGCCCAAACTTCCGATCGCAAGGCTGTGCATTTTATTAAGACTGATTTTAAGATCGATGCTGAGACAATAAAAGCGCATCGAGAAACTTTTATTGATGAGAAATTGTCCCGTACTTATCTGCCCGAGGTATTACTGTTAAAAAAATTATGGATATGATCTCATGTTGTATAAATTATTCATTAAATGCATCTAAAAGTAGCCACTTAGTTTTCATTTAATAGCCGGTCTAAGAGCACTGATTAATGCTAAAAGGCAGCTCGTGAGGCAACCCTGTTATAGTATTTATCGTTATCGACTATTAGTATTAATAATAAATAATAATATACAATATTAAAACCGCTGCCGCCTGTGCTACATATATATTTAGCACCGTTTTTTTGTTGCGTTATTAAAAATGTAGAACACCAATTAATTACAGTTCACAACCCCGGTTGGACCCCAGTTGCACACACATATGTATACATAAAGCGCGCACAGGGCTGCATTTTGTTGTCATCGGTCTGCTGTCACTAACACCAACAAAAGTTGTACGCAAGAGAAAGTGCTTGAGCCATTTTGGAAAATACAATTCCGCCATATTTACCGGCAAAATTCAAAATATTTACATTGCTAATAAATATTTAGCGGCACATCAATCAGGTTGTGCTTTAAACGGGCCGTGTGACAACGCGAACGGACCAAAAAACGACAAATTTGACAGACAACGTCTGCCACTGCCGCTGCTGCCGTCGACGCAGCGCCCCACGCACCGATGTCAATAGGACAGCAGTAGAGAATACAAACAACGCCAACAACCACAGCGACTGGCACCGAAATTGGCCATCGGGTATGTTTAATGATATTCTAAAATAATTTGCTCTCTAATTGGCAATTTTCAGTGGGTCCCCATCTACAGACGCATATACACACGAGCGCGCGCGCCTACATATACAACAACTTGTACACACAAACACATACAGACGCGCGTAGTTATACAAACACACTCACACATTGAGGCGTACGTGAACGAAACAAACACGCCAAAACGATGACAAGTCATCATCAAGGCGGCAATTTTCAAGCCAGAGCGCCGCCAATCGTAAAAAATCTATCACTGGCCGCAGCCGCAGTACCGCTGCCTCTGCCTCTGTCGCTACCGCTGTCCCTGCCGATGTCGATGTCTGCCTCCTCATCCTCTTCCTCCTCAGTTCACAATCATAATACAAACACAACGTCGCCGTTGTATTTCACACACATTCTGCCTCCGACGACGGCAATTGTGGAGAATCAGCATCCGTACAGCACCGACTTGGATGGTACGGAACATATGGGCAGTGCCGGAGACAACGAAAGTTTCCTGATCGAAGAGATCATTGATGATTATGATGAAGATGCCAATATTGTTGTAGACACTGGCGAGTTTTTCGTATCTGGCGATGTCTATGAGTTCTGTTCGGTGGACCGCATAGATATGGGCATGGCCACAGCAGACGCCCTGCCGCCGCCAATAATAATGCAGCAACAGGAGCAGGATAGCGATGATGAGGATGATGGCCAAGAAGTGGATGGTGAGATGCGATTATCATCGGGCGACGAAGACGATGAAACGCCGATCATGCAACGGGATACAAATGCCTTTGAAATAGCCTCAGAAATGTTAACAACAATTGAGTCAACAGCAGCAACTATTAAAGAGGAGCAGCTGGAAAATGACTACTATATGAAGTCCACTGATGATTCCAATAGCTGTCACGTACAGGACTTTAAGCCATTTGGCAGACCGCAACGTCAAGCCAATAACATAAGCAACAACCACAATAACCACAACATCAACGGCCATGGCCATGGTCACGGCACTGCGAAGCGTTGGAAGCAGACGAAAGTGCCTATACGAATCACACAAGATCAGTTCAATGTGACGCTTTGGTCATCCCTCAATTCGGAAGATGAGGATGAAGAGGAATTGGATTTGGATGAGCAACATGCAGCCGATCAGCAGGCCCTGGCAGCACCTCAAGTAATCAGCAGTACAACGAACAGAACTAACGAAATGCCAAAGCTAATCATTGACGAGCATATGATGCATCACGATGTGCTCAGCGATGGTATCGGCAATGAGTATGTCATATTGCCAGATCCATTCAGTGCGGCTGCTGTCACAGACGTCGAGGAGGTGGTGAATGCATTTATGGCCGACGGAGATGATGTGAAGGAGCAGGAAGACGAGGAGGACAGCCAATCGCTAAGCGAACAATATCAACTGGATGAGGCCTATGGCAGCATTGAATTAATTGAGAATATGCCACAACCTGTTGAACTAATGGCAGCGCCTGTAACAACGTCTGCAACAGTACCAACAGCAGCAGCAGCAGCCGTGGCAGTAGCAACAAAGGCAGTGCCCAAGTTGGTACTGCAGAACAGCAGCACAAATGTTCGGCTGAAAGCAAACAATAATAATATGAATAATAAAGCCACAAAACGTCAGTTGACCACGCAACCTCCGCCTCTGGTGCCAGCAAATAACAGCAACAACAGTAACAGTAACACCGGCAGCGGCGGCGGCGGCAGCAGTAGTTGTGGTAATGGACAGCAACAGCAATTACATCAACGTGCAGCCGCACTAGCCACAATGCCGCCCACGGATGAGGACGAGGAGCCCAAGTTTCGGTGCACCCATCGTGGCTGTAATAAGGAATTTCGGAATCACTCGGCCATGCGCAAGCATATGCATACGCACGGACCGCGCGGTCATGTATGCAACGTCTGCGGCAAGAGTTTTGTGGAGAGCTCAAAGCTGAAGCGCCATCAACTGGTGCACACTGGAGAGAAGCCATTCGAGTGCACGTTCGAGGGCTGCGGTAAGCGCTTTTCGTTGGATTTCAATTTGCGAACGCATGTGCGGATTCACACTGGAGATCGGCCATATCATTGCCCCATCGATGGCTGCTCCAAGTGCTTTGCCCAGTCCACAAATCTTAAGTCGCACATGTTGACGCACACGAAACCCAAACGCAAATGGCCTCGAGCCCCGCAGGTGAGCAGCAAATCTCCATTGGTGGCGCGATACGGACGGCTGGAATTTGGCGAAGATCCCACGCTGGTCTATGTGGAGTCCAACGAGGAGCTAGCGTCGGTGCTGCTGGATAGCACGTCGACACCTTCCTAACAAGCAATGCCGCTGGCTGTTGTATTCTGAATTTGGGATGCAACTAGTAGCTTCTGTGTGTGTCTGTACAGTTAGTAGTAAGAAACAGCGTTAGTTATCTAAGCGGGCTTTGGCACAGAACGGGTTTAGGGCAAAGGAGAGGAGCACATGGTGCCCCCAGCCTGCTCTAAGCTCAACTGCTGTTTGCTACTTGGTCCACAAACAAACAAACAAAAAACTAGCTGCTAAGTTTTAATGCTATTGAGAATTATAAGTTTTGATGAAGTTGATTGGAATGCCCGGCACGATGGTCAAAAAGTTATAGAATTTAGTTTTTTGTATGCGTTTAAGTATTTAAGTATGTAAGCCCCTACAATATATACCCAACAACTCTCCCACCCAGTCCCACGCCTTTCCCTGGCATCTAGCATCCCAAATCCTGCTGTGAAATGCTATTAGCATTTTGATTCTAATCGTAACTCTTAAATGTGTGGCCACTCGAATAACAAAAAGCTGCACACAATTTTTCTATAAAAATCTTACAAATACAATTACTATTTAATACACACATAAACATTTAATAACAAATAGGCTATATATATTTTTGTAATGAAATTGTAACATTTAGTGCATTGAAGTGCAAAAGTAAAGTATATAAAACAAAAATCAAACAAACAAAAATAAACTGAGATAACGTCAATTAATTGCCCATGCCTCGATAAAAGGCTTATCGTAGATTGGGAATGGACTATTTAGTTAGAAATGATATTATCAATTATCAATTCAAAGTTTACAGCTTTTATTTGAACGTGCAATGCTAAAGCTTATTTCTAAATTAGCCTAAAAAGAACTGTGCAATTGGTACTTTAAAAGGCAAAACATATCGATTCCGATCCTTATGCGTTATAAAGCTTGGTCACATTTATAGTTAGGCAGAATTCATGCGAGATAGGAATACGCTGAGTTTATGTGTTTGATCTTTTTCTACAATATATGTATGTATATATATATTATGTATTCGCTCTGTAGTTAAATTGGACATCGAAGCGCTCTAATATTTGTAGAAAGTGTATTAACTTCCAAATACTTTTATGTGACTTTGATGCCCGCAGTTTGTGGCACAGCAGGCAAAATGTTTCCAATCGGCGTGTACTTAAATAGATTTCCAGTCAAAGAAAGCAGCACAGAGTAGTTGAAGTACCAGAACACGCAGAACAGAATCATAAATATGGCGTCTGTGGGAATGGAATTAGTGGAACGAAGGAAACGGTGGTCAATAATTACTTGAAATGAGCCATAACGAATCACTGTCGGAGATTGTTGGATTATTACTTACGTATTGTTACACGCTCCCATTTTTCGACTACATAGAGCTCAGTCACCTGGTGCCAAATAGAAACGTGCACAATGATAAAAAAGAATAAATAATTATATGGACATAGATAAACACATTAGTATGTGCGTGTGTGCACTATAGCATCACTACATAAATTAAAATTGAATATCTCAATATTCACATATATTACTCACCATTAGATAGCGAAACCACCAGTAATTGGCAAAATTGGCAATGTTATTAAGCATATTGTCGAATATCAGCTAAAAGCACTTCAAGATCGCAGCAACAAAAGCAAACAACTGTAATTGAGTGGTATGACCAATTAATTGTTTAATCTTAATACTAAATGGCTTAGTGTTGACAACGTACAAAATGCCCCGGCTACTAAGTCAATGCCACACAGCTCGATACAAATTGTCATCGTTATCGTCATCGTGAACAGCTGTTTTCGCTTTTTGTTACTTGCTTAAATTTAAAATGACGAATAACATCGTTAAAGTCTTACAGCGCTCCCAGTTAAGTCACAGCCAAGCGGATGTGAAGCATTTTATCTATATACACAGCAAGTGGTTAGAAAATGTGACTGAGCTGGAATTATTGCTCACAACGAGTAATAACAGTTATAGAGCGACTTTGAAGCATGATGAAATTAAGAGCGCTGCGGAAGAACTGGAGCAACCCTATGACGAGTTCTTTGCGGAATGTAAAAAGGCTCTTGTAACACAATTGGGTCTGCCTGGATTCGACTACGAATTGGATGAGCAGCAGCCCTGCTTTAAGCTCTTCAAGTGCACTGGCTATGAGACTCTTTACATAGATCTGCCTCTGCGGAAGGCATCAAATTGCTATCAAATGCTAGATGCAGCCATTGAAAGTGCACAACGAGCACCTGCTGCCCAAGCCTCTACTACTGGTGAAACTAGTGAGCAGTACAACGAACTGCGCACACAATACGATCAGTATATTAAGGACACCAAATTATACAAAAAGAAACTGCTTCAGAAATTCATATTGCTAATGAATAGTAAGAAGGAGCGGATTGAGGAACTGGAGCGAAAGCTGGAGCAATGCAATAATGTTACAGCTAATGCAGACACCATTGAAGAGCCTGACCAAATTGAAGACGATGATGACGATGACTACGGTGGTGAGACGCAAGTCATGTCCCAAAGGGAACTCATGCACGAGCGACAAAAAAAAGCCCAAAACAAAGAGTAAGCTAAGCATTCCATAGAAAGTCCAACAAATAATATCACCTATGGTATTGTATTTTAGTTTTACCTGTGGCTTTTACATTTAATGTAATGGAATTTTATAATAAACGTTGCTGAATATTTGTATAAACTTTCCCTCAATGCCAAAAAGCTAAAATATTTTCCACTGATGTGATTAGTTTCGCTTTTGTTTTCTTTAATAAATTAACTTTATAAGGTATATGTGTATATGTATAAATAAACAACAAATAGACTTTTTTAACATAATATACATTACAATTACAATCAATGTGTATGTGTGTGTTTGTATAGCTTAGAATTAGAGCAAAATAAAATTGCATTTTGGAATACGTTACAATTGTCGTTGCAGTTAATATTTTTGGAATTTCGTGTTAAGACAATGATAATGACAATGAATTTAAAAAATACGAAAGCCAATAGAAAAACAAATTAAAACATTTTACATAAATAGTTATATGTATGCGCTATTTATAAATATATATATATATTATATATATTTATATATATATTGTATGTATAATTATGTTAGGCGTGTATAACATTTCGGAAAGAGTAAACAAATTGGAGCTGTTGCCGCGAACGTACTCAAAGAGCGAGCAGATCCTCATCAGCGCCTGGTTTCTTTGGTGTCTTTCGTAAGCTGTTGTCAGTTGCAGATGCTGTCGTGGAATTCGATGCATTGATCGTTGGAAGATTTTCAGCGGCAGCGGCACGCTCCTCAAGAAATTTGTCAAACTCTGAGCTTGTCAACTCCTCAATGCCATCAATGTCTTTCTGTTGGGAACAAACAAACCATTAGTCAATGCATTTTGCACTTACAGAAATCTAACAAAAAGCAAACGCAATTCATGTGATTAATCGAATAATTTAAAAGTTATTATGTGCCATGAGTGCATAAATAAAAACAAGCTGTGGGTGAAAATTTTTTTTAAATTGCTGTTTTGCTGCTTTGCTACTTACTGAGCTGCCCAGCCACGCCTCCATTTCGTCGATCTCGTTCTCTTTCGTCGACTATGTGGGCGCATCGAAACCAAAAACAAACCAAATTTAAATTTGCATTCAAGAACATAAAAGTAAACAAATAATCAGTAATGCAAATTGAAATATCAAATAAATTAAGGATTAGACAAACAAAGGTTAGAGCGACATATTAATTTACATCGGTTCTAAGCGCTTCACATTACTCACTTTACTTACCACCGGCGGATCGCCGGCTGAGCGTTGCGTTTGCTGTTGCTGTGGTGGTATTACCGCTGCTGCTGCCGCTCCTGCTAGTGCTGGCTTTGATTGCTTGTACGGCGAGGAAACACTGCCAGCTGCTGCATCCACAATAGGTATATCACGCAGCAGATCACTTTTGCTAGAGTCACAAAGAATTTAATTAAGCAATTTATATATGATAAGTAATATATTTCTCACTGATTGCCATCGGTGCGTGACTGCGCCAGCATGTCAAACTCATCGGCGGCGCCCGTTGCAGCAACCGCTGGCGCAGCTGCTGCTCCGCCACCTGCACCCAATTGCATCTGTCCAAAAGCTTGAGGCAAATTATCCTCGCTGCTCTCAATCAAGTCGATTAGCAGCTGATCACTTTGTGGCGTATTACTGACAGCACCTGCTGTGGCTGGTACCGCAGGTGCAGCTGCTCCGGCTGTCGCTGCTGCCACGCCTGCCACCGGCACACCCATCGCAGCCCCTAGCACAGCAGATGGAGACGTGGCAGCTGCTGCTCCCGTAGTACTCTGCGCTCGACTCTTCTCGTAGCGCTGGTGGCGCAAGAACAAATTGTTTAGCTCATCGTTTATGCGCAGAAATTCCGCCGTCAGCTCATCGTCCTGCACGCGTCCAATAAGATCGACAATGCGTGACTGCATCTCTTTGCAGGTAGCCGTCAACTCACTTAGCAGGGCATAGTCATCGGGCAGCTCCTGGCCCGGTTTTAACACGCTCAGCATTTCAGCCAATATGCTCATATTGTTGCTAACAATTTCTAGTTCGGAGCGCAGTTTTGCGCCCTGTTCGGGCGTTAAATGCAGTGGTCCAGTGGCTGGTGCCGCCGCTGCCGCATGCTGAGGCGATATGGTATGTTGAGCGCCCATTAGCTGTGGATGCGGCAAGGGATGCACTTCTGGAACGCTCTGAAAATAAAACAGAGATAATTTAGGTATGTTGTTAATCGTAAATAGTCCATGCGCTCTCACTCTTTGTGGCGTATATATGGGCGCCATAGCATCCAGATCGGTGGGCGGAAACTCGATGCCCTTGTTTTTCAGCTCCATGTACATTTGGGTAACCCCATTAAGATCGGGCTGATTTTTGAATGCATCTGCCCAGATCTGTATCAGACTGAGAACCTTCTCCTGCATTATGGCGGGCGGGTCATTTTTGGGTCCAATCAGTTTGACCAGCTCATTGATAAAGTCCTTTTGGGCCACCAGCACATGGAATGCCTTGCCACAGTTCTTTACACACGTCTCCAGCACAGTAAGCGTATACATGATCACCTGATTATTTTTGCCAGCATTCTGTGAGAGGCGTTTGCGAATAGCACGCATTGCGTCACGTGCCGTGTCGGAGGATTCGTTGATCATGTCGCAGATTTCCATGTTCGCTGCCCAATTCTCAGAAGCTAAGCTCGCGTCGGTGGCAGCTTCTGCAAATGTATATGTATGATATACGTAAATATGTACATACATTATTTCATTTTTGAAGATGTTAGCATTGAAACAATTTGTTTAAATATTTAATTTGTCTTTTAAGCAATCAAGAGCATTTTTTGTTTTGTTTATTTTTATGTCGAGTCATCGCATTTTGTTTACGCGATAAAAATCAACAATAAAAAAATCATGTGGCAGAAATAAATTTAGCAAGCAATAAGATCTTTTTATTACTATTAAAACAACAATAGGTATATTTATAAATATATGCATATATGAATATGTAATGCTAATTTGATTAGAAGTTTTTTCCCATAAAAATTCAAATCATGTTAACGCAACAATACGTTTGGTTCGTGTAACCCGATCATATTACATACATACATACATATATATGAGGGAATGAGCAAAAGAGAGTGATAGAGAGTCAGAGAGGGAGAGTACTTTCGAATATTGTTGTTGAGTGCAACGCACTGCCCACCCTAAAAGAAACGTAATAGGGAACACCAAACAAAACAAAACAAAACAAGAGATAGAAAAATCAAAGTGGAACGAAAGATGAGGTGAAGCAACAAATTAGTGAATTAGTAAACCAGTGAAAATTAGCGCTAATACACAAAATCAAGCAGACACACGCACACATACAGGTATATATACCAGTAAGTGACTACGAAAATGAGCAGAAAGTAAAAATGAATAAATTAACACTTTTATGTAACGAGCAACCCAACTAGAGGCAGTCGTAAGTCTCGATGACTAATTGCGTGCAGCGCACTTTGAGCTGGTCAAGGAGTTGGGCGGAAGGGTGCGTGTGTCGAATTATTATTAAATCTATTTTATTTTTATTATTTGTTTTAGGTTTCTTGTATTCGATGACTAACAAAAATCCATTAACATGAAAATGGTTCGTTGTTTACTTACATACATACATACATACATGTGTGTGTTCCGATGTGTCATTAGGGAATAGGCCGCTTTTCATCACTACTTGTCACACATATGTATGTACATACTCAACACCCACATTCACATATTGAATATGTGTGGTATGTGTAGCTGCAATCTTATCAGACAATTGGCCAATTAGGGGAAGGGGAACTGTCGTCGTACTAACATGATAACGAGCTTATTTTTCGCCATAATATTCAGATGGCAACAACAAATCTAACTTTGCGGTAAGCGGGTTGTGTGCGTGTATGTGAGTGACAATTAGAAAATGACAAAACGCCCAAAAGAAAGTTGGGAAAATTCAATTTTCCATGGACAGATTGTCATGCCGTGCCACCTTGAATGTTATCCATTGCAGCTGCATTGTAAATGCGCAAATAAACACATGCACACACAACATATTTGCTTGAAAAGTGATACAATTTAATAAATGCATACATATATATTACACCCACTCATATTCACACCCACACACTAACACAGACACACTATGCGACCGCTATTCTATCATTTACTCACCGATACGCTGTCCGATAGGTGTTGAGAAAACATTGCCCAGAGCGCCAACATTGAAGAATGAAGCCATTTTGGTGCACTGACTTTTGTGTTACACGTCTTTAATTTATTTATTTTGTTTTCACTAGTAAAGAGCGCAAATGTTTATGCGTTTACATCTGCTGCACTTGTCATGCAGAGTGACCACGATCAATAAAACCGAAAATACCAAAGTGTTTAATTACTGAGCTGCCAACTTAGTCGGAGGAGCAGTTTGCGCGCAGCCAACTTCATGTAAAGGCCGGATTGTTCGCAGCTAACTTCACTTGGAGCTGACAACTTATTTTGACAAGTGGGCAGTCTACTTAAGCGAACAGAGATGCGAAAGAGAATCGACAGTCGGAAGAAACACGAGGGAAGGAATTGTCATTATTTTTCTAAAACCAACTTTTCGTTCGCGAAATATGCAAATTCAATTGATAATAACGTAATGTGTAATTTGCAAATAAACTACGACGGCCGTTTTCGTGTTTCCTAACTGGCTTTCATGAAAGTTTCAGATAGCAATAATATAAAGAGAAAAAAGCGTGTGTAATTGTGTTAGTGTGCGTGCGTCGGTTTGGCTGGTTGGTGTGTTGGCCGAAAGCAGTAAAACGAAAACTGAAGGCGAAAAAATATAAGAAAAAGAACAGAAAGACATACATAGAAGTCGCGCGGGCAACGAACGTTCAGCGTTATTGAAGGACGACGAGCGGTCGCTGAACGGACGCTGGCAACGGCAACAGCAGCGATATCCATAATAAAAACGTGTGCAGTTGTCGACCGGGCGGAGGATCTTGAAGATTGCGCAAATGCACAACAGCTAGCTGGGAAGCAAAGCGCGCGTGTGTGCTGTGTGCGTGTGTGTGTGTGTTGGTGCGTGTCTGAGTTCGAGTCCGCGCAACACGCCCGCCGCCTACGCCACATAACCAACAGCAAAATCAAAGCGAATCGAATGCTTGCATTTCCTTTTCGACGCTCCCCCCATAATCCCGCTGCAAGCGATTTAATTTAACGCGCTATCGCCTATTCCCACTACCACCCATACAACCCCGCCCAAAACTCAACTCGACTTCCATAATCAGCATCAGAGTTTCGTGGGAGCACAGCGTAAAATCCTTCAAAATTCCACCACAAACGCCTACCAGCGCGAGCGCCATGCCCGTCTCGTTGGCTGTGTGCGAAACAGCCAATGTCGTGAACGCCGCACTGCGGGAATCGCTTGGTGGCAGTGGCGCCAGCGGTTGCGTAGCGGCGGCCGCAGCTGGCGGCCGATCCGGCTCTGGTTCAAGCTCCACCGCCGCTGCGGCTGCTTCAGCTGATGAGGCCAAAATTGGCGATTCTTCGGCCACGGATAATCTGCAGAGTCAAATTGTGGCAAACGCTAAACGCGTATTGCTGGCCAAAATCGAGTACGAGGAGGTAGAGAACTACCATGAATCTGTGCTGGCCAAACTCAAATCAAAATACATTGTCATAAAGCCGGATAATAATGGAGCTGCCAACTGCAGCTACAAAACTAACGGTACAGGCAAATTGCTCAGCTCGAACGGGCATGGTAAGTGTTTTATTTTGTTTTTCTGTTTATTATATAAAGTGTGTAGGTGTGTGCGTCATGTTTATTTTGCTATATTCAACGCAAACTCACGTGTGAGCAAGTCAACATAATTGTCTGCCTGCAACATGTATAGCTTCAAAAGGGACATCGACATCACCATCAACATCTAATCGGCAACTTCTGTGCCCCTGTATGTGTGTGTGAGAAAAACGAGCTGGTGTATGGGATAGCCGTATATAAACAGAATCCAAAGAATAGAGACATAGCAAGCAAAACAAGAACACGATCGCAAAGAGTAAGTTTGACAGGCTGCGACGTCAACAGCGACAGCGATTGCAGCAGCGAGCCCACTACAAATTTTTACTACTGTCTACTTCTGAATCACATAGCAGAAGCAGAAAAAAACGTGCAGCCGTCGCGGCAAACATTTTTACACGCGGTCGCTCATTCCCGCCCGCTCGCACTCACGCGAATACACCGCTTGTGCGCTATCTCTCGCACTCATTGTGCTGTGTTGCAATGGGAGGTTTTCCTTCATTTATTTACTCGATTCTCAGCATTTCGCTGAATGTTTTGAATGAGCATATGTACATATATACAAACAAACATATGAATGTATGTATGTATTCGTGCATACACTTACGAGTATTTATCAGTGTTTGTGAGTCATGCACGCATGCAGGCACAGACATAAAGCCACTTACATACACACACTCGTACGCGCGTTGCGAATCATTTGCGCAAAGCAGGAAGTAAAACAAAGTCGCAAGACAATGCAGAGAAATGGTCAAAGACTTCTGCCTGGCCATGTTTTGTCAGCAGCAGAAACAGAAGACGCCTACAACAGGCATTGTTAGACCGCGCCAAAGTTGTGCCATTTGCACAACGAGCTGTCCGAATTTCAGTTGGCAACACTCAACGTAATCGTAGAACTTGCAATTTGCATGCGCTAAAACGGGACGACAATACATTTTGACGCTGTGTATAGTGGTCACTCTTTTTTTTCTCATTTCTTTTTGTAAAGCTAACGAGTACGTCAAGTAAACGCTCGCTGTTATCAACACAACACAAACACAAATGCACAGGTGAACATTTATATATGTATGTGCATAACTCTATACATATGTGTATATATCTATTTGTGCGTGTGCGTGTGTATGTAGCGCTCGCTGCCTCTGACAGTATATGTGTCCGTCATATTCGTTTTAATTTTAGTATTAAAGCTAATTTTCCGTGTGCCACAACTGGGATACATCAAATGTATTATAATGACTGTGTTAATTGCGGATAGCAGCTACGCACTGTGGCTGCTCTATAAATTGATTTTGTTGCCCTGCTTGCTGCTGCTGGTGCGACTCTTTCGACATGTGCTAATGCCCAGGCACAAATTTGCTGTTTCATTCACAGACAATACGAACGGTGTGAACGGCAGCAGTGCTGCGACTGTGAATGGCAATCGCAAACAGACAGTGGAGCAGTCCAATCAGAATTCCACTACGAACCCCAATGAATTGCCCAAGCCCAAGCGGGTGCTGTACCCGCGGGAGAACATTCGCATCGGGTGGAAACAGTCGGATAGGAAGTGGCAAGTGGGAGCTGGAATGCTGAATGTGGGCAATACGTGTTACCTCAATTCGACGCTGCAGGCTCTCTTCCACATACCAGCACTAGCCAACTGGCTTGTCTCGGAGACGGCGCACGTGGAGAACTGCAACATAAGCGAGTCTTGTGGTAGTGGTGGCTGCATCATATGTGCAATGGCCAAGACGTTACAGACAACACAATCCAATCAGACGGCAGTTCGACCATTTCTCATATACACGAAACTGAGGCAAATATGCAAACACATGGTCGTTGGTCGCCAGGAGGATGCCCATGAATTCTTGCGCTTTCTGGTCGAGGCCATGGAGAAGGCGTATCTAATGCGCTTTCGCAACTACAAAGAACTTGATCAGCTGGTGAAGGAGACGACGCCGCTGAGTCAAATCTTTGGCGGATATTTGCGTAGCGAGGTTCGCTGCCTTAGCTGCAATCATGTCTCGATTACGTTTCAACATTTCCAAGATCTGTTGCTGGATATACGCAAGGCGGACACCCTGGAGGAGGCGTTCGATGGGTATTTTTCACGTGAGCGCCTCGAGGACATGGGCTATAAGTGCGAGGGCTGCAAGAAAAAGGTGAGTGTGTAGCTCTCTATAAAAGTACTTTGATTTGAAATTTATATTTCCATATTTTTCCTCTCAAGGTCTCTGCTACTAAACAGTTTAGCTTGGAGCGTGCTCCAATTACGCTCTGCATCCAGCTGAAGCGCTTTTCGATGATGGGTAATAAGCTGACCAAACAGATTAGCTTCAAGCCACGCATAGACCTTAGCCGGTTCGCCGCTCGCAGCCCGGCGGCCTCGACGCAGCCCTTGAGCTATCGCCTGGTATCGATGGTCACCCATTTGGGTGTTTCTCAGCACTGTGGCCATTACACGGCCATTGGACTAACGGAGTCGGGGAGTTATTACAACTTTGATGACAGCTATGTACGGCCCATTGCGATGCAAAGTGTCTGCAATACGAATGCGTACATCATGTTCTACGAGCTGGATGTGGCCAGCAGCAGCATCAACAGCAGCAGCAGCTGCAGTACATCTGTGCCCAAGCTGAACGGACTGCGTCTCAATGGACAGCACAGCCCGGCGACAGCTGTGGCAGCTACGGCCACCTCAACATCTGCCTCTGCCGTGTCCCCGCGCTTCATTGGTCCACAGTTGCCTAATGGCTATGCCAACAACAATGGGCATGTACTTGGTGCCGCAAAGACTTCAATTCAGTTCAAGTCCTCGCTACAGAAGCAGTTACAACAACAGCAGCAGCTCCTAATGGGGGCGAATAAATTTCAGGAGTCTGCGCAATCGAAGCATTCACTGGTTGGGTCATTGCATAAGGGAGAAAGTGCTGCAACTGCAAGTGCAAATACAGTTTCAAATGCAAATTCTAACAAAAGTTCCTGCAACAACAACAATTTAACAACCAACACCAGCCAACACCAGCAACAACATATTCTGCCAATATCATCCGATGAGGAGGATGAGGATGAGGACAGTGACGATGATGTTGATGTGAAAGCCAACACAGCGCCTCAGCTGCCGAGCATGCCGAAAATGTTTGAGGATGCCGAGAGTGTTGCGCAAACTGCCAAGTTGAAGCCAAAGACGCCACTCAAGAGCCTGGTGCCATATGAGTCCGCCTCCGAGGAGGAGCAGGAACAGCAGCAACAACAACAGAAGCTGCTAGTGTCACCACAGCTACAGCCAGCTAATCCCCGCAAGCGACGCAGTGGCGCCGATTCAAGTGAATCAGACGATGAGCCACCATCCATAATGCGTAATGGTCATGCCAGGAGCAATGGCAGTGGGAATGAGTCCAGCACCAGCAACAAATCCAACAAGTCCGCCTCAAATGCCTCGTCGGCCAATGTTAACAGCAACAAACAAAAGACTGATGCCATAGACGAGATATTCAAAAGTCTAAACAACTATAAAAATAAACACAGAGCCACAGCAGCAGGAACTACGACTGCTGATGGCGACGCGGATGAGCAGCAGCAGGTCACAAAAAAACCAAGCAACTCCAGCTCCAGTTTGATCAGCAAAAATGGCTGGCAGTCACAAAATGGCAAGGCGCCGTCATCGCCAAAGACGCCACCCTCGCCAGCTGTGATTAAATCAAAGACTGGCATTTGGCAGATAACACGCACGGATGATGATAACGACGATGATGATGAGGATGCGGATGAGGATGATGACGCTGACGCTGATGCTGAACAGGAAGAATACGATGATGAAGTCGTTGTCGTAGAGGAGTCCACACCGAGTACCACGACTAAAAATCTCAACAATCCATTTGCCAGCAAACCGTCTTCAGCAGATGCCATGCCTGGAGCCAAGCGCCAGAAATTGCTAAATGGTAGCGCCAAGTCGGCGCAGACGCCTCGCGTCGGCAATGGCTATCAAAGTGAGGCTTCGGCCAATGGCAATGCGGTCAGCGAGCTGTTAAAGCAGACCCATCGTGGCTATGGTACATCGGTACTCAGCTGGAACGGCAAACCTTCCGAATTGGACCAACAGGTAAGAGCCAGAAAACCCGCTTCTTAAATGCATTGCATTGTAGCTTCTAGTTTGGCTTTAGTTGATCAATGATGCGTCGTTTTTGCTACGTTAATCGAGGCAGTTAAAAAACGGGCTTCCCTATTGATAAATTCATCGAGACGCAGTGAACACGACGCATTTTTATGAGAGATATCGTACTCTTTCTCTTTGTACTCTGTTTTTCAGCTTTATATCTACATATGGTGAATGTTTTTTTGTTTTTGTTTAATTTTCTTTTTTTTTTATTTGTAAATATTCATTGCATGATGACTTTTTTTTGTTGTTACGAAAATTGTTTTGTAATTTTTGCATTTGTTTCCACCATTTTACCCCACATTCATATAGAGTATTGATTTGGTTTGTGCGAAACGGATAGCTGGTTACGGCGATATGGATCGGCCTGTCGGCGTCAGCAGTGACAGTAATATTAACAATAACAAGAGCATTGACAGCAGCAGCAACAACAACAGCTTGAAGGCTCCAACCGATAAATTGTTTTAGCCGTTGTTGCAAGAAGTGCTTGTATATCTCAATTTTCCCCAATTTGCCTCGAACTGTGATTGTGTTGAAGTCTCCATGCTGCGTGTGGATACTTCAATGCGCTTAATACTCCCCACCCAAATACCTGTTTCAAGAACTCGTCGAGATCCTAGCGCCCAATAGGTAAAGCTGCTGTTGTAGTTATCCACCTTATTATCCTCCATCTAATAAATGAAGCTTATGATTTGACTGCCAGTTTGATTCCAGTTGTTATCATAAATTCAACCGTACCCGTTTCCGTTTTGCCAAATGAACTGATAGATAAATGTAACTGATAAAATATACATCGAATTATGGATAGGATAAGGAACATTCAGTGCCATATTTACTTCAAATTTGAATATTCATTTTTTAAATATTAAAAAACATGCGCATTAATCAAGCTCGATTTCTATTGATCGATAGTCAGTGCGCTCTCCAGCCTCTTACATTTATATATCGCATGAAAATTGTGCTCGTTAACTCATCTGCATAAGCTTCATTACCCCTCCTAGAGCCAAGCAGATTTATGTGGAGATAACTGAAATATATTAAACTGAACCTATTTTTCTTCCTAGTTGCTGGCTGAAGCACGCGAGCAGCGGAAGCGTGATGCAGAAGATGATGAAGAGAATGAAATGGATCGTGGACGTCAGCGCAAGGTCAAATCGGCGTCAGTCAAATCTAATAACAGCATACCCGGCTACAATCCATTCCAGGAGTTCGAGAGTCAGAAGCGCTGGAACGGCAACAAGTCTGGCTCTTTTCCCCGCTTCTATCAGAATTATCGTCAGAATTTTCAGCAGCGCAACAAATTCAAATATAATCGATTTGGCGGTGGTGGCGCCAAGTTTCAACAGCAGCGTGCCTTGCAGCGCCATCTATCGGCTGGCGGCGGCTTCACGCGGCGTCAACATCAATCGACAGGTCATCAGCAACAGCAGCAGCAACAACAATCGTAACTGGACGTTGACCCATACGTCGCTGCATTAGTTGTGTTTTTTGCCGCTGTGGTGGCTACTGCCCAGCATCTGGCAAACAATGGGCTCGCTTGGATTTTACACGAGTTTTGTAAACATTTTTTAACTGCTGATGCATACATTAGGACTAGGACATATAAGCTATAAGCTAGAGCAACCTCTAACAAGTTTAATTTGTAAACGTGTTTGGCATTTTATTTATTATGTTTATTTTTAAATGAGAAATTTGGAATACACATGATTTAAACCGAATGTAACAGGGGCTTGTAAACATTTTCAAAAAGTGTTACAACCCCGCAAAATAAATGATTGTAACTATAAAACACAAAAATCATTAACAGAGAGAGAAAAAAAAAAAACAAAAAACAACTATTATGCCTAAAACCAAAACAAAAGTGTTTAAAGGAGAAAAGAAAATAAGATACACGTAACAAACATTGATGCAAACCTTATACAAAATACACAAAATAACAATATTTTTAAGTAACTAACAAGAAACAAATTCTGTACATATTATATATTAAACAATGAGAGTGTAGATTAAACATTGGTCTAAGTTAGATGGCGTACGGAACGGATATTTAAATTGAACGCCACTTTTATTTATAGCATTAGCGGCAATACCCGATTGCTAGTGTTAAAATATAACCCAAATTATAAAAATAAAAACGTTGGATTTATATGATACAAACAAAAAGAAACCACACACATTTACGAATAAATAATAAGGCATTTGAACAAAGAAAACGGCCGGCGCTGGCGAATTAGCAAAATTATATTATACAGTTTATTTCGATCAATTTAGTGTAATAGTAAATAAACCGTAAAACAAAAAAGAAATAGCTAAATATTATTATATACTATCTACTATGTAAATTACATCGTTTATCCTTTTGGCTAACACTAAATGGCTAATCGCCGCCGCCTCCGCTTCGTTTGCGTCGAAGTTCCTTCTTGTTCATTAGTCGACCTTTGCGGTAGCGCGTCTGGCCGCCGGCTGTCGCTTTGCCATGCTTCAGTTTCTTTCTCAGGTGCTTGGGCACGCTGCGGATGGTGTTATTGCGGTCACGTTTCGTTTTCTGTAGATTGGTCTTCTTGTCCATGCGCTCTTTCTGTTTGAACAGTTTGCTCTTCTTAATTTTCTTCAGCGTTTTCGTTTTCATCAGTCTATCCAGGTCCTTTTTGCTTTTGATATCTGCCTGCATAGCCTCACTGTCTGCTTCTCCAGCTGCGGTTACCGATTTACGACTGCGTTTGGCATTGACATCGAAGTCCATGCCAGGTATGACATTGGTCTGCTTCTCGTCATCGTCTCCGCTGTTTTGCGGTGCTCCCTCTTCTTCGCTCTCCTCAGCTATATTGGCACCGAGCATGTTGCGTTGAGCAGCCAAGTCATTCGTGGTTAGCTCCACGATTTTAACTTGGACTTCGTCATCTTCATATGCTTCAGTTTGCTCTGAACCGTCAATCTTATCTTCGTCAGTAAGTTCCCGCAGCGGCTCAAACGATTTCTTGAGATGTTTGAAACTATCTTTCACCTCTTTCCGTATACGTTTGTGCTCCTCTTTTAGATTGCGATCCAACTCTGCCTTTGCCCGAGTGCGGCGTTCATTTTTTCGCTTTCGGAAGCCAGTTAAAAATTCTCTGTTTTGTATGAGCCAAGTTAATAACATTGATTTGACTAAAATATACTATCTGATACTCACTTGCGTTTTTGTGGATCGAATACAATCTCAACTTTCTTTTTTTTGCGAGCCATCTTATGTTTAGTTAAAGTTTTTCAAAAACCTCGTTGTTTACGTTCCGACACAGACCAAGGAACACAAGCCACATGTTGGGTTAACTAACGCAATTTTAGACTCCTGTTAGCGTGTATTTTTGCGCCTGCAAACGAAATGTTAACGCACATACGAGCTGATCATAAAATGCTGGCGGGTGAACATATACATACTTCTGTTAATTTGCTGTTATTTATTTAAATGCCAAATTTAAAATATATTTTAATATTTATTGTCTATATTTAATATACGAACATACTCGTTCGTTTCAGTGTAATATTTATTGCAATTAAATTGATATTTTAATGATTTTTTTGTTTGTTTATAATTTTGCGGCTTTTACAAATCGCACTTCGTATATATATCACATGCTTATATGTATTATCTTTTACAATTCGGATTACTTTATAAAAACAAAGTTTAGTTTTAACAAGTTCTTCTAAAGAAGCGTTAACATTATACAATCGTTGGGCCTAATAGCTAAGGATATTTATGAGACTACGAACTAAACTCTAAATATATATAACGATATATTTTTTGACATATGTATGGGTTGCATTTTGTTGTAACTGATATACTGTATATATATGCTTAGTAACCATAAATTCATTCCGTTGCAATCTTGAGGACCAATTACTCCTCATCAACATCTACTGTAAATAGTTTTTTGCCCCTAAACGAAGACGTTTCTAATACTTTTGATGGGGACGTGGCAAATGAGCCGTTTTCATCTACTGACAATAAGTTGCTCTTCTCTGGTTGAGTCTTACGTGCGGAAGAGCTATAATATAAGAGTATATAAGTGAATATGCGAGCCAAACATTTTATAAGACAGCTACTTGCCTTCTTTGACGGTTGGCCGTTAGATGATTATGATTTATGGGCGTCGAATTCACCAGGTTCTCTCGTTCACAGGCTGTCGGTGTGCCGTGCTGTGATAAATCCATATCCATGGCTAATAGAAAATCGGAGATATAACAATCACGATTACCAATGGGCGTTGATCCCACGAGCTGAAACTCTAAGCGCGGCACACCGGCAACCGATGTGGATGGTGATGAGGGAGCAGCGGTTGCTGTGTTGCCATTATACATCGGAGTCTGTGAAGATGTAATGGGCTTGTACAGATGCAAGATTTCCAATAAGTAGAATAAACAACGATACGCCGCTGTCTTTAGATTGCACATTTTTAACCAAAATGCACGACGCGAACGGCGAAAACATTTCGACTGGAAAACATAATAGATAACAATTATATAAATGAATATTGTAAATTTGAATATACACTTACCAACAGTTTTAATGTGACCATGGACTTTTCCTGTTTTTGCATTCGCGCAAGGCGAGGATGCGCCAAAAGCTGTTCCGTCGTTGCTCGTTGTCGTGGATCTGGCGACATCATCCATTTAATAACCTGCTGCAGTTCCACTGAGATTTCTGCAAACGCAAAGAAATGGTTTTTATTTATATATTAATATCTTCTGAATTAAAGTACTCACTGCTGATGAACTCTTCAGGCAGCTTGCCCTGGCGCAGCTCATGCCACAACGGTCCATTGGATGGCAAGTCCATGTAGCATGACAGCTCCAGCATTGCGATCCCCAGACTAAAGATGTCTGCAGCCTTGGAGAAGTGACCTTGCAGTATTTCAGGCGCCATGTAACGCGAATCACCTTCTGTTGCCTGATGGTTATTCGCTTTGTCCACATCGATGACCAGCCCAAAGTCCGCCAGCTTGCATGTGTCGTCATCATCGATCAGCACATTCTCCAGTTTAATGTCCAAGTGTATGAGATTACGGTCGTGCAGCGACTTCAAGCCACGTAGCAAATCGAGTAATATATGCCAGATGCGATCCTCTGGAATATGTCGACAGCGATATAAATACTGTTCCAAGCTCTCGCGGCACAGCTCCATTTGCATGAATAACCGATCGTACTGCTCCCAGGCACGTATGAAACGAATACAGTTTTCATGGCCAGAGAATTCCTCGTATCGCCGTACTTCCTCCAGTCGTTCAGCTCGATATTGTTCGCCGCGAAACAATTGCTTGGAGATTTTGACCGCATACAGCCGGCTGTCAGAACGATCTCGCACCTGGAACACCTCACCAAAGGAGCCTTCGCCCAGCTTTGTCAGTCGTTCGAAACACTGCTCGAAGTGGCTCATATTGCAGGACATCGTGGACATAGACGAACTAGCCGCAGCAGCACTTGGCGATGTTGGTAATATACCGGCATCCGAGCACTCTGAGCCGCCACGAAAGGAAATCGCGTGCGCTATTTGAGAGTTGTTTGCACTGCAGGATCCGAATGACTGACTGCGATTCAAATTGTTATTCTCAACTGCAATATAGCGAGTTTTCACTTTGGGCGGTCGAAATCGGTTGCTGTCAAAATGTCCATTGAACTGCCACAAACAAAGACATTTTTAGTTGAAGGGCGTGACAAAAACTGAATGCAACTTTAGTTGCATGTTGTAGCCGGAGTGCTTCTCACCTGTTTATGCCGGTGCTTATCATCATTTATTATCTCCGGCATCGGCAATCGTTGCTTGTCCATGTTGTTTCTCTGTTTTATTGAATTGTTTTTCTTATGTTGAAGTTGAGCAATCAGGAACTGAACTTATGAACTAGTTCGTTCGCACGAGGAGCTTCAACTTAGTTTATACGTGTCAAATTATTTATTGTACAAAGAATTGCAATGTCGACCATTACACAATTGTGTGGGTTAGGGGTTGGACAATAAAAGAAAGTAAAATTAGTATTACTTGAATAATTGTATAATTAATTTATTTACCAATCAAACATTATTAGGAAAACATATCCATTTTAACGTTGCCATATAGTTTAGATTATTGTCGATATTTAGCGGCGGGGCGTCGATATATTATGTGTGCTTCGATTTAGCCGATGGTATATATTATCGTATAGCTTAGTCCATAAAAACAACGCGCAGTTATAGTCTTCAAAACAAATGCACCAAAATGCTTGGCAAGAGCATTGATAGGTAAATATGCGCGACATGTACAGAAACAGGTAAAAGCAGCAAGGAGCCACTTTCAAAATATGGTGCAATCTTCACTAAGTTATGCAATTTGCGACGCGGTCTCCTATTGTGTATAAGTATGTAATTGTATTGCACACACATGCATGCACATCTGCATATAAGTGTGACCGCATTCAGGCGTAAAATTAATACCAATAGAACAATCGAATTCCGTTTAGATTTCAAACATTTGAATTTAAATTCATGTGTTGTTAAGTGAGAGTCTTAAATGAAATATATATTTTAAATATATCAACTCTTTATTACAGTACAGGCAAGCAGCCAACATTTCATGTCATTCGAGAAGTCTACGACAGTTCAAATGCTCACGAGCGTTTTGAAGCAGAGCTGGAAAAGGCACTTGAAGCCAAAGTAGACTTTATAATCATCGAGCCGCCGCGGTTAGGCGATGAGACGGGTAAATTAAAAATAGATTTAACCAAGACTTTTTCAATTTATTAACTATTTGGTATACCTAGGTCGCTGGATATGGGTAGGCAATTGTCTCCATAAGACTGCAGTGGCAACTGGCGTTGTTTCCTTATTATCTAGCTTGTTGTGGTATGACCGTCCAGTGATTGCGGCTCCCATTTGTGCAATGTCGCTCTTCTGTACCGGATTATATACTGTATCCTGGAACTATGATCCTTGCTGTCAATATCAGGTAATGTAAACTTGACTTTAGTTGATCAAATGAATATTAATATGTATTCTTTTAGGTGGAAGAAAACAACGAGGTCGCATTAAACAAGCTGCCGTTAACAGATGTATCCTCGCCTGTGATCCTGGGCTATGCGCCTAATACTCAATCCAAATACTTGCATCGTGGCATTACCTTCTTATCGGCGGCTTTGTGTGCTTGGCAGATATGGCGGTCATATAAGTAAACGATAAGCACTCTGAATGGGATAAGTCAGCCACTGCCAATGCAGGCGGCAACGAAGCGGCACGTAATCTTGAGCTTGACCCCAAGTATTTGGTTTTATAAGTTAGTTGAACGCTGTGGCGTATGCATTTCTTTTAGAATATCGATATTTTTCGTTTTTCCTAGTTAAATTTTTAAAGTGGTTCGAGACCGAAATGTCAATATGAATGTTTCTCTATAGTTGTGCATATTTTTGGCAGCTATTCACTCGCGATTGCATTATAAATGAATGACATATTTATGTTCTAGTATTTAATGCCCCAAAAGTCTTAAGTTAAATGATTGTTCAAGTGAAGCACTGTACAAATAATTAAGCAAAATTACTTTGTGTGTGTGTATAAATAAAAATAGTGATTGTTATTAGTATAGAAAACAAAAATTAAAAGCAGTGCAAGAAACTAAATAAACTCAAAGCGGAACATGTTATTTAAACAGAAATCAAATATGTATATATATTTTTGCATACATACATATATTTACTGTTCATAATGGAAGCAATTGCCGCCAGTATGTGTAATCTAACTACTACATATGTATGCACAGAAATACAGGGTCCCTTTATGTCAATACTCACACACACATATATATTTCCATTAATGTATACCGAGGGCGAGTGTACATGGACACTTCTGTATATATGTATGTGTGTGTGCTGTAGAACAGCTGTAATGAAACGTCATGCGTGCTGAGGCTTCAGTCTGCAGCTCAGTCAGCTTGCTGAAGCCGTCGCAGTTTCTTCTTTGTGCAATCCCGATTAAAAACGATCATCCAGCAAATTCCAGTGAGAACGGAACAAGCTAGGGCTGCCTCTGCGCTGGACTACTGGAAGACCAATGGAAGTCAACCAGAATGTGGGTAGGTGATGACCACAACTGAAGAGACTCCCTGGAAAGCTGTCTCTTATGTACAAAATACTTTTGTGGATTACTCTCGGTTGCGCTGCCTGAGTCAGCTCTTCAGCAACTAAATGCGCAGCTTAAGCGAACAAATAGTGTCACATTGCTTATCATTTCGGGTTGTTGTTTTTATCGTAATTATTTGTTGTTTGCTTAACATTTCGCATAATCATAGTGCATGCGCCCGTTGGCGGTGGCCTACATCCGAGCTACACATCATCCAAATACACAGGCTCATGTGACAATTACCAGCCTACTCAAATTTACATGGAACCCACCGAGCGAACTCCTCTACTGCCCGGCGGCAGCTCCTACATATCCGAAACATCGTCCACTTCTGCCACAGTTCTTTTGTCTCCAGCGATATACACAAAGGAGTGCATCAATTGGCGCACCATCGGACTGCTCTTGATGTTCATCAGCGGACTGGTGATGGCCACCTATTTGCTCTGGCAACAAAGTAAGTGATGTGACAAACTTAAATGTGCTGTAGGAAACCTCTGTTAATTGAATTAAATTCACTTTGTTGCTTAATTTATTTATTATTAAAAAAAAAAAAACAATGATCTAAAATAATTCAATATAAGGCTGCAAATAAATATAATTCTTGGTTGAATCTGAATCACTTGTGCATTTGACTATCAAGGATTCCAATATTATACTTATTATTTCAGCTTTTCTTTTCGGGTGTAACCGCAGAAAGTTTACAGTTTGAGGATTAAATTTAATAAAAATAATGTAATATAATACTAATATATAATTTATTTATATACTTACAGCACTCGCTCGGCCGTATAATGGCTACAAATTGAATCTGATCAGACATGATATTTGGAGTGGCGCACATTTGCATGATATCGCCCAGCTGGAGGCCAACAAAGTTGTCAATGTTTTCATTACGCACACGGCGAGCGAGGAGTGCAGCGAGAACTGTGCGAGTCTGCTGCATGGTCTGCAGGTGAGTCACAGGTGCAAGTCATTTATTTATTGTTGACGCTCATTGAATAACTTTCGTTTACAGCGTGCACACATCGGTGAGCTGCCGTTTAATTTCCTCTTGGCTGGCGACTGCGAGACCTACGAGGCGCGGGGCTGGCAGTATGTGAGCAGCTTTGCCGAGCTGCCGCAGTCGAGCTCCCTCGTGCTGGCCTTTGTTGGGGAGTTCAGCCAGTGGCTGCCTAGCTTGTGCCAGCTGCAGATGGCTCAGGCGCTGCTCTGGGAGTCGCAGAGGCGCCTGAAGCTGCAGCCCGGCTATCAGCTGTACGCGCTGCGCAATGTGAGTCGCAGTGCGAGGGATGCAGACGCACTGCATCGCCAGCTACAGCACTGGCCGTTCTATGCCGGCCAGCTGGAAGTGAAGTAAATGACGCTGGCCAGTCGTTCCTCTCGTTTTGTTCTCTTTTATTATTGTACTCCACACAAAAAAATAGTATACAAAAGAAGCGCAGGATTGATTATTAAAGCGGGGTGCCACCGAAAAGCGAAAGCGAGTGCCCGCTCCCAGCCCAGCGGAACAGTAGCTGCCAGCCGGGAAGATGAGCCAACAACAAAGCAAAGCGCTGCGTGTGCCAAATTACAAATTAAGGATAATGCCTACAACTAAATCTTATCTATATATATATATATCGAATATCGAAAGGGCCATTGGATCGGGTATCCGGCTGTGCCTAATCGAACTCCAGTTTCCGAAAACTACCCTCGATGGACTCGATCTGTGAGACGAAATTGGTGCCCGAGCTGGACTTTTCGGAATTGTAGCTGCTACGTCGGTGGATACCACGATCGGAGAGCAAGGTGCTCTGATCCAGAGCCAGAACGAGATCTCGTTTGCTAGCCAGCTCCTGTTTCCACAGCTCGATCATCTCACGCATCGGCATTGAGCCGCCCATCTCTTGGGGCAGGCACTCGGCATCGACGCTCTTCATCAGCTCCTTATCGCTGCCATAGATGTTCAGGCGGTTTTTCATCTTGGAGCTGACGCGATTCTTCACAAAGTCAATAAGCCATTTAAGTGTGGAAGGCACATTGATCAGATGAATCTCCTTGTGGCGCATGGGCAGCGATTGTTCGCCCCATTTGAAGACGCGCGCAAACTCTGTGGGGTTCCAGTTGGTGACATGCGCCGTAGTCACGCCCGCAAAGTCGCCCACATGACTGAGGCCCGTGATTTGCGTCTCCTGATCCTCCATGAGGCACTCGTAGGTCAGAAAATGCGCCTTTGCCTGATCGCAGCTTGTGTGAAACTTTGGATTCAAACCTTTGGCATTGATGATGACAACGCGTCGGCCGTGCTTGTCCCGCTTTGGCGCTGCAAATATGTAACCCTGTTCGATAAGGTCGGTCATACGCGGCTCCAGAAAGTCCAGCTTGGTGGCCATGTGTGGAAAGGTGCGTCGAATGTTCAGATACTTGAGCAGCGTCTGCTCCGCCATCGGCACACTGAACTTTTTGGCGCGCAGAAAGCGCAACAGGAAGGTATCATCGCAGCGCACATTCTGCAGATCCTCGTTCTTTAGCACCCAGTTGCGCAGCTGCTCGAGGCTCTGCTCGCGCGTGCACTTGTCCTCGCGCAGCTCCCGCTTGGCAATCTTCAGCAATGATTCGGATAGCAACGAGGCGTCGCCTTCCTCCAATACCTTGGTCTCCTTCATGGCGACTGGGCACTCGCTTCTGCTGTACTTTGTGGTGTATACGCAATCTTATTTAGCTGTAGAAAGAAGAGAGAGAGAGAGAGAGAGAGCGAAAAAGGAGAAACGAATTAGTGTTAATATGCTGAATATTTATATAGTTGTTATAGGTTTAGAAAGTAGCCAACCCTTAATCTTAATCTCAAACATTTTAATATATTTAATTAACTTGACCAAAGTCTGAAGTCTTGATCAATTGTTTTATCACGATGTTAATATACGAGCCCTAATTTCATTATTTTGCTCACAGATCTCCATCAGCTAATCAACTCTAAACATTGTTTTAACTTAAGACAATCAAACACACTATTCACAACTGCGAAAAATTGGTTCAAGGTCTTGGCTCAAGGCTCAATTGGCAAATATTTGCTAATTATGCCTAAAAACCAAATATATAATAAAATATATATATATACATATATATGTGTACATATATTTTTATCTATCTGCAGAGAAATAGAAACAATCGTAAACTGAGTCTGATTCAGCGGCTGCTTGAAGTAGCTTTTCATACATATGTAAATTATTTTCTTGCCGGACAATAAATTCAAATCATCTTAAAAGCGCACAACGGATGAGCAAAAAGAAAAAACCAAAAAAAAATAAAAATCCGAATTGGTTCAAGTTCAAAAACTTTTGTTGCCTGAAAGCGGGTCAAGCTAAATAGATGTAAATATGTACATATACATATATAAATAAATATGTATATATTTTGTTTATATATGTGGAACATTTTGAACTCGAGTCGTTGTCCCCGCCATAAGAAAGAGTTCAACTGTTTTTTGCAGCAGCTGTTTGTTGGCTTCAGACTTAAGCTTAATTTGTGTTTTTTTTTTTTACCATTACATAAGTTGTTTTCCTGCTTTTAACTGTTTGTGCACATGCAAATTCACACAGATAATTGTACATATGTATGCCTATGGAAAGCAAGACAAACACAGTCACAGTCACACAGTAACAGTTAAAGTCTCAGCTGGAGGTAGATTTACCTGATTTTCTACACTCCTGTTTCCCCACAATTTGTGTACTCTTGCACATACATATACATACATATATGCTCATATGGCAGATTTATTTATTTATCTATTCAAAGCTTTATAGCTTGTCTTCAAACATTTTTATAATCATAATATAATACAGCCTCAACTATTGATTTTTGAATACTTTCATAGATTATACACTTTTGTGCAAGTCATTTCTTTTACCTATCCTCCTCTATCCCTTATATTAATACTTTAACAGCAAAGCACTTAGCTTTAGGTGGAAATTTAGAGTGACCTACAGTTCATATAGACTTGTCCCCCTGCAAGATACTTACATATGTATATTATTTTATTTTTATTTAAGTATAGATTTATAAAATAAAGTTTGCTATTTCTTTTTAATTAGCTTCTTCTTTATCGTCATCATCTTTTGTTATTCCTCTTTTTCTTTTACTATATTGTTTTATCATAGTATTATAAATGCTTATTTTTCTTCAACTCCCTTTGTATTACGTTTTCTTCTATTATAATATCCAACCTTAGCTATAACCAGGTACATCAGATACTCATTTATTTCAGATACTCTACACTCTCTTCGTTGGCAATATATACCGGTCATCTTCTTGTCTCTTTCCTATGCTCCATCTCAAGTCTCATCTGCCCCCATCTTTAACTCATCCATCCACTATTATCTCATACTCTCATAATGGGAAAAAATCATTTTCATATAGTAGAGTATATCAAATTTAGTTGTTCTGTTGACCTTTTTCGCCTTCGGCTTAAAATTGAATTAATTATTCGCCTGTAAAGCTTATATTTGCCTATTTGTTTGTTTCGTTTGTCAGTTTCGTTTCGTTTGTTGACTTCATTTGGTCATGATACATATGCAAATCAGTGGGCTCCCATGCAAATACTGTGACATTTAACTGATTCATGTTTGGCGTGGGTTTTTTATGGATTTATGCAATCATTAACTAAATCTGACCAAAAGATGCACTTCGAGCTAAAAATAACATCGAACAAATTTGCATTTTCTTTCGAGTTTTCATCAGTCGAAAATGAGATTTCAAAAAATGCCGTCATTGGGCAATGACACCCACAAATATTCAGCATCTACCAACGGTCTCCATCACAGTTCCCCCACATTGGGCCACTCGATGACCAATGCAGCTCTCTGCTGGAAGGGGTTTCAACATGTTTATTAGGCGCTTGGGGCTTGTCAAGTGGTTGTGCTTGTCGTGGTTGTTGCTGTGGTTGAGCTGCTGGCTATTGCGTGGCTCTGCGGTGCCAGGCTAATATCGTACTGCAACTGAAAACATCAAACCGAAGCTTCGACTGCAGTTTGCTAATTTCATAAATATTACTATTCAATTATGTCTATTTTTTCTTTTTCTTTTGCTTTGATATTTCGTAATTTTTTTTTTTTTTTTTTTTTGCAATATTTTGTTTATTGCTCATTTTTTACATGTATACGCACAGAGACACACACACTTACACTGCAGGACTTGGTATCCTTTGCTCTTTTATATATTTCTGTATAAATATATCTATATGTATGTAAAGTCCAGTTATAGCTATAGCTATTTAGTTATATATCCAGTCGATAACTGGCGCGTCGCGTAACGGCACAACTGAGCAGCGCGAGCTCTGAACTACGAATGACGCAAAGCAACAAAAAGTGGCTTGAAAAAATGTTTAAAGAAATTAACTGGATTATATAATGGCCACACAGCGAAACACTGAGAGCAGCAGCAGCAGCAGCAGCAGCACCAGCGGCAGCAGCAGCAGAGGCTGAAGCTGTCCAAAGCCGAATCCGAAATGCAATTTGATCGGTTGCTGTTGGTGTTGCTGTTGCTGCTGCTGCTGCATGGCAGCGAACAAGTTTTTTTTAGAAAACCGAAAGTGCGCATGTAGACAGGCAAACCTTTTGGCCAGACTAGGCTGTTAGCCTGCCCAAGTCCAAGTCAACAGCAATCAAAGGTAGCGGCACAAAATGTTGTTGTTGTTGTTGTTGCTGCTGCTGCTGTTATTGCTATTGAGTAATCTCAGTCAGTTGGTCAGTTGGTGAGCCACTGAGTCAGTTGCTTAGCTGGATAGTTGTCTTAAATCGAGCTGTTTTTTTAGCTTAGCGGTTTTTTTTTTTTGCCTTTTCATGCCTTTTTCACTTTGTTTATTTCACTGATTTGCTGAGCTGTAGACATATTAATGATTAGGCTCATTGAAAGACATCGAAACTCATTGCTCATGGCAAAAATTTGCATTTTCATGGCGCCCATTTCCAACAGCAGCAGCCACAGCAACAACACTAGCTCGAACCTTGAAAATTAATGCTTTGCTCTTATGTTTATTGCTTGTTGTTGTTGTTGTTGCTGCTGCTGCTGCTGCTGCCGCTGCTGCTACTTCTGTTATTAGATGCTACAGCTAATGATGTTGTTGATGCACATAAAGTTTGGAGCAAATGAAAAATGAAAAACAAATCTCGAATCGTCATCCGCTTGGAAACATGTTTGCTGAGCTCTCCGCATATTATTGCTTGATTGAAATTTAAGTTCGATGTAAGACAATTGCATTAGCTGGGCGTTGAGGTCGAGTTGTTTTTTGTATTTTGTTTTTGTGTTTTTATTTATTTTGAAAAGAGGAAAAGCGAAAAGCGTTGGCTCTTTTATTGTCATAACCTTTTGTTTCGCGGCCATACGAAATGTGTTTGGTATTACACAACATTATTTATTTACTTAGCATAGCTAGT